TCTCTCTTTTTCTCTCTTTTTCTTGGAAGCTCAATATCCGCTCCTGTCTGTATGATATTGGTTTGGATGACTTTTTGCCCTTTGACTTTTATTCTTGATGGTGCTTAGGACCGAACCTACTTTCAAATGTCCAAGACAAAGTAAAAGCAGCTCGAAGCTACTTTGTCATGATTCCTGTCACAAGATCTGAAAGCCTTTGAATCCCCTCCGCTATCTGATCTTCGGTGTGCCAGGCCCAGCATAGTCTTATCCCTTCACCATAAACCTTCATAGCCCTCTCCCGACTTCCTTCATCTTCTTCCACTTTGAACATTTCTCCATAGGCAAATTTCAAGTTACACTCTTCCAAAGCTCTTGCAGCCAATTCCTTGGTAGTAATTGGGAGTTCTGATGGAACCATGACGTAGACAAAATAACCTCCGGATACGGCAATGCTAGCATTGTCACCATGACCCGCAATATCAGATGAAGCATGATAAGGGGCGCCACTGGAAACTTTGAAGCTGATGGGGACAAGCTTAGTCTTGATAGCCTCCATCATGGCATAGTACCTTGATCGATATGTCGGAATAAGCTTGTCTTTGATATACGTCTGAAGTATGCTAGATTCGAGCATCGTATCAACGAGGGTGGCTGCCAGTTGTGTCGGGCAACCGCCGGATCGTGTCGCGCCGAGCTGCGCAAGACCAAGGATAAATGCCGGTGAAGCCTCTACCCAGCCAACTCTCATCCCAGGTGCAATGATCTTGGAAAATGAGCCATTACTCACGGCGTTGCCCCATTTGTCCTTGATGCCTCCATCTAGAGTTCGGTCCACGTCCACGATCCTAGGTGGAATTTCTCCCACAGCATCTGCAGCCAGATCTTTGTCTTCGGGCCATCGGATCACGTCGTAAACATCGTCTGTAATGACGAGAGCGTCGAATTCTCGGGCAAGGCGAACAAGCTCTTGCCTTCTTCTCAGAGATGTGGTCTTTCCACTGGGATTCGAAAAGGTCGGAACCATGTAGATAATGTGCTTATAGAGCTTGCCATATCTGGCCGACGTCTTGAGTTTTGGCGAGGCCGGTGCTGCCTCCTTTTCAGACTCCTCGAGACCAGCTCGGAGAAAACCAATGTCAATACCCTCGTCATCCTCTGGCACCCCTCGCAGATGTCCCTCAAAACCGGAATCCTCAAAGATTGGGCAAGCCAGAAAGTAACTTGGCTCAATCATCCAAATCTTTCTCGTGTATCCAGGCTCGGTGAACCTGGAGAGTATGTTGCTGAGGGTTGCCGAAGCACCATTCGTCACACAGATGCGATCATGAGTTATGGCTTCACTGCACTGGTAAACTGAGGACAGCCATTTTGCAATATTCTTTCTGAGTGGCAGATAACCAGCGTCCGGCCCATATATCAAGGCCGATGCCGAGTTTCGGGGGATGTCGAGAATATTGGTAGCACCTTGAAGCAGCTGAGATGAAGGAAACAAGGATGGCGAAGGCCAGCCTAATTGCAAGTTGATATGCTCCAGGTCTGGCATATTGAATCGATTGTCTAGGAGGGAAAGAATAAAAAGTTTGGAGACTCAAGACAGAAGAATTGCTGAGTAACCTTGATGTGATATGTGACTGGTCAAAGCATGTGTGGGATGCGGTGATGCAGCAATAGTAGTCAAACTTTTACATCGTAATGCATTCGGTCGACTTCTGAAGCCATATCGAACATGTGTTTCCGGCTTTTCGGACAGCTAGCACCAATTTCTGATGTCGGATTCAAAACTCCGATCGCTCGGGCTCCGTGTCCGAATGGGGCGGGCCCCTTTCCAAGCGACGCCCCACATCCGGCTCGACCCTCGCGGCCCCGAGATAGTGTATATTGCCATGGGCCAATCGCCGGAGGGTAGCGGAAAACATCCGCCGAATCCATATGGCCCTTGGCATTTTATGACCTTAATGGAGAATCTCATGTCCCCAAGTCTGTAATTATCTACGAGGGAGCTTTTGCATTTTTATTCACATATTGCAACATTTCAAACCACAAACTACACTACCTCCCCATAGAATACCAAAATGCCGGCACTTGCAATCTCACTCGGAGACGAACAAAAGGCATTTGATGCCGAAGTTGTAGCAATTGAGAAGCAATGGAGTTCTCCAAGACAAGCACACTTGAAGCGGCCTTACGATGCTCGCACTATTGCCGCGCTGCGCAACTCTGTTCCTCTGGCGTCGTCGCTGTCCTCTACACAAGCTGTCAAGTTATGGAACCAGCTGCATGAACATAGAGTCAACAATACTTGCGAACTGACATTTGGCACCACTGACCCCGCGACCGTGTCTCAAATGGCAAAGTACCAGCAGACCGTCTACGTCTCTGGCGCGCTCTGTGGATTCTCTGAAGTGGCCATCCCTGGCATGGACCACGCCGACTATCCCTGGGACACGGTGCCCAAGGTGGTGTCCAAGATCTTCAAGTCGCAGCTCTGGCATGACCAGCGGCAGCGACAGTTCCGATTGCGCCACCTCCAAGAACAGCGAGCTGAACTGGAGAACTGGGACTACCTGGCCCCCATTGTGGCAGACGGCGACATGGGCTTTGGTAGTTTGACCAGCACCATGAAGATGGCCAAGGAGTTTGTCGAAGCCGGCGTGGCCATGATTCATATTGATGATTTGGCCATTGGCATGAAAAAGTTCACCGTCGGACAGGGCCGTACCGTCGTGCCGACGAGCGAGTACCTGGATCGCTTGACGGCCGTCCGAATGCAATTCGACATCATGGGCGCTGAGACCCTCTTGCTTTGTCGCTGCGACACGGATCACTCCGAGTTCATCACCAGCGTCATTGATGAGCGGGACCACGAGTACGTCATTGGCGCGACCAACAAGGTGGAGCCTCTGAAGGACTTTTTGAAGTCGGCCCAAGTCGAGGGAAGGGACCTCAAAGAAGCTAGGAATGAGTGGAAGGACAAGGCGGGACTCGTAACCTTTGACGAGGCTGTCAAGGCCGTGGCCTCCGCAGACGAGTACGCTGCATACGCTGCCGAGATTGCCAAGCAAAAGTTCACCTCTCTCCCCAAGCGACGGGAAATTGCAAGCAGTACAGTCGGCAAGGACGTTTTCTTTGACTGGGATACTCCGAGATCCTCGGTTGGCCAGTACATGTTCAAATCCAACGTGAAGGCGGTAGTGGAACGCGCCCTTGCTGCAGCACCACTGGGAGACGTGACCTGGGCCAGGATGGATTCGCCAGTATGGAAGGACATTGTTGAATTCCACACGGAGATCCGCAAGGTCTACCCCGAGCGCCTCTTTGCTTTTGGCTACACTGGTGACTATGACTTTAACAAGGCGGGCTTCTCCAATGAGCAGATCAAAACATTGCATCTCGACCTGGCCAAGATGGGTATCGTCTGGCAGGTTCAGCCAATCTGGAGTTTGCAGGGCCTCAACATGGTAACTACAGATTTCAGTAAGCTGTGGAGTGAGGAAGGTATCGCTGGATATCTGCGAACCGTTCAAGGGCCAGCACTTGGCAGAAAGCCCATGACGGACGGATTCGAGAAGCTTTCATGGTGTGGTGGCTATCTTGCAGACGCTTTCTTTGAGACAGTCGCCGGTGAAAACATTGTGGAAAAGGGCAAGGCTGTTTACTTTAAGAGGCATTGATTTTCTAGGTGCATCGTAGTCCACGTTTAATAGTGATCACATTGTTCTTTGAATAAGAATTTGAAGCAAACGAATCATACACACACACACACTACGAGGGCTATTTGGATAGGAAGTAACACAAATATCTTATCCCACTAGAATGAATGAGTCATTATTGCCACTCTTCATAATCAAACATTCCAGGGAATGATAGCAGTTCTTCCGTGCCAGGGTTGTCTGCCTCTGCGCCCATGCTGTCAAAATTGTATACTGGCTCGGCTGAAAATGGCAGCTCGAATGTGAGCATTGTATGAGGTGGCACATTGTTAGTCTGACTTGCCTGGGCTGCTCGGAGATCCTGTGGGCTTTTGTCAATCGGTGCAAGCAGTCCAGGGACGGAAGGTGGCCGCGGTAATGGCTCCGCAGGGACTTGGCGCGGGAAGTCCTCAGAGATCATCTCCTCAATCATTCTGAGTATTGGTCGGTGGACTATGAGAGCTCGCACTTGTGGGAGCTTCTCGCAGATGGTGGTGATGGACCTTTCTGAGAGGCGTTTTGGTGGCCGATTTGGGCGGTCTATGAGTGGGATCTCGCGAGCTATGAGCTCAAATACATCCCGCAAACAATCCGCTCTTGGCCAGCGATCGGCCATAATAGCTAGGATGTTGGAACAAGCCCGAATTGCATCAGAGACGTCAGGTGAATCGTAGTTTTCAGTTCTGTTGACTGGCGGTGTAGCCCAGAAGCAATACAGCAGGGTAATCCCTGATTGGAATTGGACGAGTAACTAGAAATTGATAAGAATCAAGCAGCTCTCGGCGAGCAAATTTGAACTTACACCGAGCCAGGACTGAGCAATTTGCCGATCCATCTGCGTCTTTCGGAAAATCAGACATGCTTGACTGCTAGCTTGCACTGACCAGTCTCCAGCTGGTCCCAAAACGGTCTCTTTTGTTGGTCGATAAAGCATTAGAAGAGTGTAGTGATAGATCATTGCGAGCCATCTGTGTGATGTATATCCTTTACTTTGTGGATCAGAAAACTTTTGCACCCTGGACTTGTAACTCTCCAACTCGGCAAGGATACGGATTCGCCACTCTGGAGACTTCTCAAACCTCGTGGCATAGTCCCATCGAAGCGTAAAAGCCATTATTTCGGATTGTATTCGCCGGCATTGAACGATGTGCAACGATGAAGAAACACATGTATATGTCGGAACATCAGGTAGCTCACAATCGCGCAGAGTTGTGCGCGCAACTTGTAACAGATCATGGTCGTCGATATTGTTATATATCTTTAGTGTTATCATGGCGTCGGGGATGGATGGCGGAAGATCGAATGATGACATGACCAGCCGGTCGAGCTTATATGCACACCAAAAGCAGCGGCGGCGGACCTGGTTTCTTAGTCGAATGGAAGGGGTAGCAGGGACTGGCTCGGTCTCTGCGAGATGGAATTGTTGTTGGACGCAGTAGCGCATGGTCGTGGAAGCAAGAGTAAGTATACGCCCGGAGGAGCTCTTGTGCAGGGCGTGGACGCTCAAAAGTAAGTAAGCTTGCACGTGGAGCACTGAATCTTGCTCAGCAAGAACAAACGGCAAGAGTTCCACTCCATTTCTGTAGAACATTTGTGCATCCATTTTACTTGCCCGTGAGCCATGTAGAAGGAGAAGCGCAGTAGCATAAGCCAAATTCACAAAGAATCCTTGCCATCGAGTTCGCGACGACGGGAATGAATCTTCTACCCAAGAGACATGCCACTCCAAGAATGTGGGCCAATGGAGAAATGGGTATTGTACTTGGGCCCTGTCGCGGTATGTCTCAAGCAAGAGTTCTCTAAGCTCGGGCGTAATTTCTCCTCTCTGGAAATGAGAAGTTGGCGGTCTTCCACCTGAAATCTCGTCGTGGGTGGCGGGCGACGGCTCTGAGCCATCATCTCGCGGAGCTGAGGGCGATGCAATCAGTCCAAATATCATATGATCAAAGCCAGTGTCGGACTCATCATCGTTTGTCAACATGGATCTTCGAGTAGGGACCCCAGTATAGCTGGCTAATCTGGTCCGTGGTCCTGACTTGGGTGAAGGTGCAGTATCATCTTCATTTGTGTCGGCAAGTGTCCGTGGCCTGAGCACGCCGATGGATGAAGTTCCATTCGTCGACGGCCTTTCCGGAGGCTGGACATGATACGATAATGTGCTGTTTGATGATGTGCGCCTTTGTTGGCCTCTGACCGATCCCAGCATGTGATCTAAACTCTGCTGTGGATCGAGGGACTCAAGTTCGGCAATCCTCTCCTCGAGTGCTTTCACGTATTGACTTTCCACGTGAGATCGCGGGGCCGGCTCCGTCGGTAGACACTCATCTCCCGACTTTTGGCAATTGGTGCAAGGCCTTGGGTCATCGCATTTCTGTTTTCTGTGCCGACACCTCCTGTTCTTTTATCAGCCTCGAGTATGGGGCGGCGTGGTCCGCGCGGATACATGTTGGCAGATTGCGATCGCTGCCTCACCTGCAGGCCAGAACTCTCTGCCTCTTGAGAGGCGGCTGTCCGTCATCATCCATTGAGTCTATTATGAGACCTCAACCTGAGTCGTACACAAGTCATTGATGTGATATGCATGTGGCAGTGAAGCCAAACAGATAACACTACCCGAAATGACTGATAAGAACAGATGGAAGTGGGACTTTCGGCGCCTTGATAACGATCCGACAGGCCCAGGAGCGGGCGCCGACGGGCTATACTAAAAATGAGCAGAATGCCCCACCACTTTCTTTTACCACCCCAGTATCCGTATAGGACAGCGAGCTGAAAGGAGTCACTGAAACCGCCAATGGTATATACACGCCTCTCGTTAATCAAACATCTTTCTACATCATGAGACTATTGAATACTTGCAAGAGCTTCTCTGTTGTCACACCACCAGACGATCTTGTCAGTTCAAAGAGAAATGCGTCTCTCTTTGTTGCAGCAATTTCAGGTGGCTCTGCAAACGTCCGCGTTCCACCCTCATATACGGCTGTGCCATGCTGTCCTGGACTGAAAGACTTCCACGGAGCCTCTCCATTTGCAAACATGATGACATCTTGGCCGAATGATACAGCACTCACTCTCTGGGTTTCGCTCAAGTATTCATTGTAGTTTTGGAAGATGAAGACCACATCGAGAATGTGTGATGCTTCGCCCTTGAATAGTCCATCCCATGGATTTGGCTCGTTGAAGGCGTACACATACGAGGTATTTCTGAACCCCGTAGCTAGTTCGATAGCTGGTGCAAAGAAGGCGACATCTGAGATGTATTGGAGAACATTGCGAAAGACTTGGTCCTCTGTAAGGGTCTTTTCAGCAGCTTCAGTCAGACTGTAGTGTTCTAGCACTGCATTGAGTGCTTCTGGATGCATTTCCAACGTCTTGGATGCCACGTCTCGGAACGCTGCGCCGAGTCCGGACTTGCGTGGCATAAGCATGTAGCCCATGATACTCGACTGCAAGCATGTCAGCCTATTCCATCGGCGGCAGCAAAACCCTTCCATGATGCAAACTTACGTCTAGCTTGGAATCTCCCACAAGGATGGCTTCGATGGATTTGTTGCCAGGCAATGTGGGTGATTGAGCCCAGGTCTCTAGGCTCAGTACCTCGGGAATGATTTCGCCATCCACAACGGGCGTAAAGGGAACATTAGGTGGAATCTTTGACCAAAAGTTCTCTGCGGGCAGGTCATTCAGGGTCTTGACGAAATTCTCTTCCGAAAGTCCCTCGATATTCAAGTGCTTTTTTACACTTTCCGCAACTGTATCAGCTACCGGCAAGGGTAGTTGGCCCAGCAAAGGTGGACATCCTCCTAGGCAGATGATGCGCTTCGCAAGTGCTTCTTCGGATAACAATAGATAACCGGCGGAGACTAGAAGAGTCAGTCAACTGATTTTGCCCACAAGTGGCCCAGTAATGATATCTGGAAGGATGCTCAATTCTTACCTCCACCGGCGCTTTCTCCCATGACCGTCACATTGTTAGGATCGCCCCCAAAACCGCCGATGTACTTTTGCACCCATCGCAACGCTGTCCGTTGATCCGACAGCCCATTGTTGGGCCGGCAGCCGGCAGCTCGCAACTCTGGTGAAGTTAGGAACCCTGGGGCTCCCAGCCGATAGTTGATATTGACGCCGACAATCGGGCGTCCCAGCTGAGCGGCCTGGCGGACCAGGCTGGAAAAATCATATTGTGGCCACCAATTGCCACCAATGGCATAACCGCCGCCGTGTATAAAGACCAGGACTGGCAGACGTTCGTGCTTGGTTTCACCGGCTCCAGCATTGGGAACCGTGATGACAAGGTTGAGCCCATCTACGTCACTCATGCCCGGGAATTCGGGCTTGGGCAGCGCGTGCTGAATGAAGGAGAACTCCATATCCAAGCCATTTGGCGGGCTAATGACCTGGGGTCTATACACTCATAGCGTAAGGAAAGATCGTATGGTGAAAAGCTTATTTGCAGGAATTGGCTGTCTTTTACGTACCCATGTTTGGTTGCATTCAGGCCCTTCCCGTCATATTGTACGAGGTCGGCTGGAGAAAAGCGGTCTTTTAGTGTCGCATATTTGACGCCTCGAAATTGGATGGTATCATCTTGATCTACGCCAGCAATGCGGCCAATATCAGGATGGTTGAGTGTCTTTGTGGACATGACTGCCGTGCCTAGCTGTTTGGGGCTCCAAAGGAGTATTTGGATGGGGAGTTTGGGTTCCTCTAACCTAGCTCATTTTCAATCGACCTACTTATAACCAACTCTGTTTTCCCGACATGTGGGGATCTGCAATACTTAGGCAAAATACAGCCAGCATATACTACTCTGCAGTCTCCCCGCGTCTTTGCCGCTATCAGTCGCCAGGTACCCCAAAGCCATGTGGGTAGGATCCCGATCAAGGCAACAATGCAAGCAATTGATATATAAGCGAAGCTTTTATTGTATCCTCGCCGTTTCGTTTTGCGTTTACGAATGATACTAGATAACGACGCACATAAAATGCCATTAATCCGGGACGAGAACGGCCGGACCTTCGTGGAACATGGCAATGGGCAAAAGTCACACTACATCTTGGATGACTTTGCAGATCCATGGAAGGCTCACGATACAATTCTAATCCAGCACGGTTTCTGCCGTACCGTGGAACACTGGTATCATTGGGTTCCGGCGTTGGCGCAGCACTTTCGGGTCATCCGGCGAGATCTGCGAGGACATGGGCTCTCGAGTTACCCCACGGCTTCTTCTACACGCTATGATTACACGCTAGCGACTGTCGTTGGTGAGATTGTCGATACTCTGGACCAACTAGCCATAGAAAAGGTGCATTTCATAGGGGAATCAACAAGCGGCATGCTCGGCGAAGCGCTGGCAGCTCTCCATCCAGAGCGACTGCTATCGCTGACAATCTGCTCGTCGCCAACTTACCTTCCTCCACCGGCCTTGGAAACGTTTGCTTTTGGCTGCAGCGACTGGCCGACCGCTTGTCGCCAGTTGGGGTCTCGCGGCTGGGCCGAGGCGCTGCTCAGAACGCCTGGGACAATGGCGTCGACGGATGTCGCATACACTTCGTGGTGGGTAGACCAGGTCGCGATATCGCACTCGGAGGGCCTTGCAGGCTACGCCGAGTTCTTGTCGAGCATTGATGCGCGACCGTTTCTACCAAAGATCAGGGTGCCGATGCTCATACTTGCCCCCAAGAACAGCGCAGTGATGAGCGTCGAATCCATGCTCCAGGTGGGTGAACAGGTGCGCGGGGCACAAGTACAGGTTATTGATGCGCCGGGCCATGAGATTTTCATCACTGGAAGCACAAAATGCCAGGAGCTGGTTCTTGAATTCTACAGGTCTTTGCAAGTGAGACAACCATGAGCCGGTGGCAAGGCTGCAGGAAGTGATTCAGCTTTCTCTGGTTACCATTTCATTGTGCTGTTATTGCTTGTGTACCTAGTAGCCGCATGTAACTTCCCAATTTTCTGCATAGCTTCCACATGCATTGGAAGTCACCAAGAAAAACCAATTGTACCATGCTGGAGCTTCCAATGTGCAAGCAACGGATGCATACATATCTACCTACCTAGTACTCTTCAGTTGCTCTCATTCGCCAGAAGTACAAATTAATTCCTCCATCTATCGGTCCTCTGCACCCAATCCTTTGGTTAGTCAAGAAGCTGGCGCTGTCAATGGGGGGTAATGGTACCTGTTCGTGGGGTTCAGGGAGTTGGTGGGGTATGTAGGTGAGGCATCGTGGGGTTGTCTCAGGGCTTGACTCCAGCAGTGAACACCTAGCATGTGGGGTAATAGGTAATTGAAGACTACACGCAGCCATGGGGGCGTTCAGTTTATTGAGAGTTGATGTGGGGTACAAAGCACATAACCTCGTAGGGGTATTGAGTCTGGGTCAATAGGTACGATTTCACGACGAGGTATGCGTATACTTGGGTCTATAGAATATGCTGTTACCCAAGCTTGCACTGATGCTGAGCAGACGTCGAACAGGCGGCTAGGCCAGTAGTTGACAATGTAGCTAGGCACCCATCTAATGTAGCAACCTTCGCTGCCCCTCACTGATATTGCGACTGAGGTGCTCACCCATCCATTGACCTTGAGTGGCTGCCAGTGTGTCCTCAAAATCGGTTATCTCATTCCCAGCAACAAAGAAGGCTTTGCCGTTGATATCTTGGCGGCAAATTGGCATTAACAGCGCACGTGCAACTCCCTCGGGCTGATTTGATGGTAACCCATCCCAGACAGACAGCATTTCGGGCAGAAGCATGGGTGTCACTAGGAACCAATAGATGCACTAATTAGCCATGATTCCGACCACGTCAGGTCTCCATGTGAAATCTATTGATCGCATACCTGTGAGCCATGGACAAACGACATTGACCGTGATGTTCTTCTTGATCAGTTGACTTCGCAAACCGCGCATAAGCCCAACGATACCTGCCTTGGCCGTACAGTACAAGTACAGCGGTGGCGTGTCCAGAAACGATGCTGCTGACCCAGTCATGATGATCTGATATCGGGCATCTGGCTGCCTGTCAAAATAATGCACTGCGCATTTGACTGCATATATCATACCTGAAATGATTCTTGTCAACGTAGTCTTTGAAAACGAGAGAAGGCGGCGTTCGACTTACCCATTAGGTTGATCTCGAGCGGCTTGAGGTCTGGTGGCGATAAAATGCCCGTAGACGAGTCAATGACACTGCTCAGAAAATCCTCATTGTTCACACCAGCATTAGATACTACGGCATCTATGCGCCCAAATTGCTTCCAAGCATCTTCAAATAGTGAGACAACATCGGTCCAGACAGAAACATCACTTTTACGGAAAAGGACCCGTCTAGGAATCCATACGTCTTGAGTCAGTGCACTTGTTGGAAATCGAGTATGGACAGAACTCACTGTCCCAACTCTGCTGCCAGTTGGCCCCCTAAACTCTCATTCCAATCTCCCAAGGCGAGCTTTGCTCCATGCTCTGTTGATGAAGTGTCAATATTTCTCCACGTTGACATTTGGAATCTGAACGTACTGTGAGCTAGAAGACTGGTGGAACGGCCGATCCCCGTCGCACAACCAATGACGATGACAGTCTTATCCTTTAAAGAAGCCAACTCATTGTCATTGAAGACGTATGTCGTCATTGCGAGTTTGAGTCTCGGAGGCCTGAAAGATGGAGGGAGATAAATCAGAATACGACACGGTGGGAGGAAGCCTTCAAAGGATGGACAATCAGGAGTAACAGAGATGTTAGGTTCACTTCGGAGGCATCAAGGATTATATACTTTTGCAGTGGGGGAGTATTCCAATCGCTGAAGCGGGGATCTATGCGAGCGAGGTAGAAAGCTGCACTTGTGTACTCCATTTTCATCGATGAGCATAATACATAGAAAGGTGCACTCTTTCGATATCGTAGAGCAATTATCTGTGTCTACGGACAACATTGCATGAAATTCAAGTTATTCTGGTTCGTAAATTCAATCTAGGACACCATCAACCTACACAATTGAAGTATTTACCTCTATGAACTGACTTTTCAAGCCTTTCCTTTCGCAACTGCAGCCAGGATCTCATCAACTTCAATCTTGTGCTTGGAAAAGTTATCAACCAAATCGTCCCACATCTTTGGATCGTGTTCATGTTTCCTGTCGCTGTTCCAGGCATAGTCTGTGATAGTAAAGGCACGGCTACTCTCAAACATGAAAGCGATCGAGGCTGGAGAGATTTGCATCACGGGCGGGTCAGCCTTGGAAGCCTCGGCGAATTGCTCATAAGCCACGCCGTGGGGTACAAAACCACACTCGAATGAGATACTGCCTGGCTGGAACTCGTCTGAACGGCCACCATAGTCACCGTAAATGAGGCCCATGAGTTCCGAGGCACAGTTGCGGTGGTAGTATGGCGGGCGGTACGTATGCGACGCAACGTCCCAGCGCGGGGAGAAGATGAGAAAGTCGGCCAGCGGGGCGGCTGGATCGCGCGACCGGGCCGTCAGGACACAGAAGATGGACGGATCAATGTGATCAACGGATATGGAACCAACATTGACAAACTTGGTGAGATCGTACTTGTACGGGACGTAGTTACCGTGCCATGCAATCACGTCAAACGGGCAATGCTTCTGGGTACTGTTGAAGAATTTGCCTCCTAGCTTGTAGACGATATTCCAAGGGTCGTCCTTGGTCACCTCGTAGGCAGCGACGGGATGGAGAAAATCTCGAGCATTCGCAAGCCCGTTGGCACCTAGAGGGCCAAGCTCGGGCAGTTCAAAGCTGGAGCCCCAGACCTCGAGAATGTAGCCCCGGGTTGGGCCATTGACGCTGACTCGGAATCTTTGTCCACGCTGTATGACGCAGATCTCTCCAGGTTGCACGTAGAGAAAACCAAACTCGGTCTGGATGTCAAGGGCTCCTTGCTGTGGCACAATGAGAAAATCGCCATCTGAATTGACAAAAGCCCGTTTGGTCATGCTCTTGTTGCAGAGAAAAACATGAGTTGCCAGGCCTTCACGTAGTGTTGGGTCTCCCGAACCGGCGATAGTTTTAAGCCCGTCGACAAAATCGACGTCTTGGCCGGCGGGGATCTCAAACGGCTTCCACGCCAACTGTGTTGGGGATACATGAACACGAGAATTTAGTGGTAGAAAATTTGACTCCGTGTCGACATTATCCGGCAATTCAGTCTGAATAATTAATCAAATCAGCTCTGGCGTGTCTGAAGGTTGAATCTTTTACCCACAAATCCTTGATGAGCTACGGCGGGTCTGGAGCGGTACAGCCAGGCCTTTTTATTGACATGACGAGGCGCGACGAATGCCGATGCCGTCATTTGCTCGGCATAAAGGCCAAACCGAATCGATCTGGGACTGTTCTGACCTCTTGGGATTGTGCCGGGGATGGCCTCGGATTCAAAACTGTTGTTGAATCCGGGCTGGTATTTGTACGGGTCATTTGGGCGTGTGGCGAAAGAAGGGATGCTTCCGTCTTTCTGCGTCGAAGCCCAGTGAAATATGTTTTGAAAGTCCTGTGTAGACATTGTGTCTGATTTGTGTTTCTCTCGTGCTGTGTGTTTTGGTCTATACAGACGGCTTGTCCAATGTGACGAAAAACCACGACCAACTTGGGATTCATATACCTTTCATGGTCATCGTGTTGAGCGCTAGAGGGCAGCCTGTGCCTGCGCGAATGCCCCGCCAAGTGCTAATAGCGCCTTCACTGCCTTAACACCCCCACAATCCAGAGACGCGAGCCACGGCTGTCGCTTTTATTTACCCGCTGACCACGGCAGATAATATGTGGGGAGGTTTCAAGACCTATATTAACAAGAACTTGGTAAGCATCCATCATAGGCAAAAAAGGCACTGATTGTGATTTTTTATATGCACATGTGATGCACACCGCAAAGAACGCCCGCTGAGCAAAACCTTAGTCACGGCCAAGGTACGCCATGTCGGCTGGCATCTACCACGCTACTCTCAACAGCACTCTCAGTGGGGTTGACTGTTCGCCACACGTCACGGTATTCCGCGGGATACCCTACGGCAGCATTCCAAGGCGCTTTGCTCGGTGTGAACCGATACACACTTACCCGCGAGAACTCGATTGCACTCAATTCGGGTACAGCGTCTTCATTCCCGTGGATTGATAGCCCTGTACTCATCATGACCCGTCTAGTCCACGATGCCCCCAACTCCAATTGGACGTCGGTTGTCTGCTGCGCATCCCACCAGATATCTCGCCTCGACCTGAAAATGAAGACGAGTATCGATGCACCAATCTTGATGTGTTTGTACCAAAGCTTGCGACCCAGGACAATGGCAATGGCTTGCCCGTCTTGGTCTGGATTCACGGTGAGTCATGGAAACTCCTTTTGAAAGGATCATATGTCTTGACATTTGCTAACTGAGCTTCAAAGGTGGCTCCCAAGCTGTAACGTTTGGCAGTAGCGCATCTGGTGTATGCGGTGGGTCTCGTGGGAACTAGCATACATACCAAGTTATTCTGACCGCAATCGAATCCAGACATGACCGCGCTCGTGGGTAACTCAGTGGTTATGGAAAAGCCAGTTATTGCTGTCACCGTGCAATACAGATTGAACATGTTTGCTCTTGGAGATGGTACCGGCGAGAAGAATCTCGCACTCCACGATCAATCATCAGCATTGACATGGGTTCAACAGCATATCGCTGGCTTTGGGGGAGATCCAGTGAGTATTTTTCCATTGGACATGTCAGACATTTTGAATATATACTTAGACGCTCGATGTCTGCCAGGCAAGAGTCACGTTAGCGGGTGAAAGTGCCGGAGCTGTCTACTGTCACGCCCATATGGTGACGGGTGCACCAGCACAACAATTTGCCTTGTTGTCGGGATCATTACATCTTTCACCGCCACAACCTGCGCATAATGTAATGGCATTGCGAAGTTCGATAAGGCAAAAGCTCCAAGAATTGAGTCCTGACCTGGATTTCAGCTCGGCTTCAGCAGCTCAAATCGTTCATGCTATAGAACGATCAGGGGTACAATCATTTTTTCTCGAGGACGACCCCATTTTCGCAGGCTGGGAAAAGACAGTTGGCACAGGGCGTCGCCTGTTCCTGAGTGATGTGCAGAAAGAGGTCCGTTATGTCTGACGAGACAAATCTAGGAGTTTCGACTAGCTGACATTGATACAGTCGGCCATATGGCAAGCAGGGATACACCTCTTAGATGACCATGATATCATTAAAGCCTTTGACCTAGCTGGTGATGATAGCAGGAAGCTCAAAGAACTCTATCATATCCACTCTGGGCGGTCCTCGTCCTGCCGGTTTGGAGCACTCGATTTCATCAACGACTACAAATTCGTTCTTCCTATACATCAGATAAAAAGGCTCTGGCAGAATTCGGATAGATTAGTGTTTCGCTATTTAGTCGATGAAGCGAATCCGTGGCAGCCATCGTCGGGAGCCCATCATGCCGTTGACCTCGTGTTGCTTTTTGGTGGATTTGGTATGGCCACAAGTGCGGCAGCTGAGAGGACTGGGCAGCAGATGCGGAGTGCATGGATTCTGTTCCTCAACGGCGAGTCACCATGGAGTCCCAGCACGAGCGACTTCGCGTTTGGTCCATATGGTGTTTCTTCTGTACTGAATCGCGAAGAGCTAGGGTTTCGGCGCAGAATGGCACAGATCGAATTCCTTGACCGAACAGATAAGTCGTCGTTGGACCCTGTGTTCAGGGCATTGGCAGCAGGTCGGATTAGTCTACTCAATTAGGACAGCAAAGTACCATCAAATTGGTCTTGCTTCGCTAGCGGTCTCATTATTTATAAGTAGCAAACATCATATGTCTGACCTAATGCAGTATAAAGTCCAAGGTCCGAAGACTTGTTCTAGCTCTTGCGCAACTCAAGCCTTGGCTTGCCCCTCACCCCACATATCGCAGCACAGCTGCGGTGCTATTCATTGGGGGTCGATAGGCATGGAGTATAGTCGCGGAGCCAAAGCAGTACCCCACGAGTTGCGACACCACAGGCTCAAGACCAACGACTGTTGGCATTGTGATGAAACCATCTAGCCAGAACGGCATATAGAATGTTCATATGTATATCTCTTATTTCGATATCATAGGTATTTATATCGAACACTTTGCCAGACGTGCTGCTCTCTGATATGTTCTTTTGTTTGTTATTTCCATCAAGTCTTCGATCTTTGACACTACATTCACTTTTTATATGATTGTTTAATACAGACCACTGCCTAGACCAGGAGTCAGCCATAAGCCGATTCCTTCCTATGGATCCAACAATTGTTCTCCGTCGCGGCACGACGCCATACAATAACAATCTAAAACTGTATTTCAATCAAGAGCAGAATGATCGCTTCCCTGCCGAAATCCATGTTGCAAAATGGGCAGATGACGTTACCGGGGCTCTGAAACGGGCACAGGAGCTCAAGGTTCAGGTGGGCGTGCGATCTGGTGGCCATCTTCCCTCTAAGCCGTCACTGGTACACGATGGCATACTGATCGATGTGGCCTCTGTCAATCGTGACCTGGCATACGATGCCCAGACGCACGAGGTGTCCTTTGGCCCAGGAGTACGCGTCCACGAGGCGTGCAAAGCACTTGATCGTGTGGGCCGTTTCTTTCCGTTCGGCCATGCTCCAGACGTCGCCCTGGGCGGTTTCTGTCTTGCCGGCGGGCAAGGATTCTTCATGAGAGGCTGGGGTGCCACCATCACGGAGTGGATTGTAAAGATGGAGATTGTTGTCTCGGACGGAAGAATTCTGGAGGCTAGCCGCACTCAGAATCCCGACCTCTTCTGGGCCGCCCGTGGTGGCGGGCAGGCTTTCTTTGGGGTCGTCACTCGATTTTGGAGCCGGACAATCCCAAAGAGAAATCTTTTTGGCCGTTCATTCACATTCGAAGTCCGCGACCGCTTCCAAGACTTGCTCGAGTTCGCATTCGACCGTAACGATGCCACGCCACGATGCTTCACCGAGACTGCTGTCTGTACCTTATATCCGCAGCTATTTGATGACCAGTCGCAAGACGAAAATATCCCCGCCAATTCACCACTGCTGCTTTCGATTCACTTGTCAGCCTATGCGGACCGTTTGATCGAGGCAGAAACACTCCTCACCGCCTGGAATCAGCTTCCAGACAACATCAAGGGTTGCCTCATAGAAGCTAGGCCTACCTCACAACTTAGCTGGGACGAGTTCTTTGAGCTTCAACATCGCATGAATCCGAAAAGTCCAGATCAAAAATGGGGCATCAACAGTATTCTCAGCGATCCCAAGGTCTCCCGACAAGAGGTAAGCAGCCACATGTACTAAGGCACGATGAGCAGAGTATTTCAACATATCGTAAGAGATGCCTTCACTAACTGTAGAGCCGTAGCTTGTCGAGAGTATCAAGCCGGCAATGTGCAATCTCCCGACGCGGTCTTCATATGGGTGCATCTACATGGCCGACACTATCACCCCCGATGAATCGGATGCCGTATTCAGTTTGCCACAACAATACTACATATCCACTTTCAGTGGCTGGAAAGACCCAGCGCGCAAAGCCGAGATTCTGAAAGTTATGGAAGCATCCTACAAGAAAGCAGAGTTGGTCTCCTGCGGCATGTATGTTGCCGACTTTGATCAAACCTCAAGCTGTGTGCAATCACGAGACGTATGTTTCCTGCCGCGATGAAGACAGCATTTACTTACAGTTATTAGATCAAAGTTTGGACAGATTCCGCGCGTGCGAGATTCTCCCAAATCCGAGCCAAATGGGACTCGCAGAAGTTATTTGCTGGCAGTCATGCTTTAATTAGTGAGAATTAGAACTATTCAACCACGCACATATATTTTCAAGCCTCGTTATCAAAGACAGATGCCCATTCCATCAGTCTTCTCATACTTGATCCTCGTCAGTCAAAACTATCTTTCGGCAACTTGGCAATACATGTCAACTTGTTTGACCAGCCAATAGTTCTCATGAGACATGCTCTCGGCTCCCTGGGGCAACAGGTCAAATCTTCTGATGAATGCTGGGATCAACTTATTGATCTCCAGAAGACTAATGTTCTTTCCGATGCATGTCCTCGAACCTGCGCCAAACTATACGACACAATTAGCCTTGATAACATTTCACCGTTTCCGGTTGAGAGGGACGGAAAATTCACGTACGGGCATCCAGTAGCCTTCCATGGCTGACAAACTTTGCTTGCTACTTTCGAGCCATCTCTCTGGTCGAAAGGCCTCGGCATCTGGCCCGAACACTTGTTGATTCATGTGGGCTACCCACGTGTTGATGCCAACGATGGTCTGTGAAAGATTAGTATGAGTAGGTGCTCGGTTTCTAAGTGAAAGCTTTCTCTGTCCAGGACATTTCTTACCCCGGCCGGGAAGAATTGCCCGCTTATCGTCGTGCCTCCTTCTGGGACGACTCGAGCAAGTGGAAGGCCAGTTGCCGGATGCACGCGAAGACCTTCTTTGATGCATGCTTGCAGGTAAGGCATCTTTTGTGTCTCTGCAAACGGAATCAGGGGAGGATGGTTAAGCTCTGCGAGCTTTTCATCGATCTCGCGCCGTAGCTGGTCTGTATCAGTACGAGGGAGTGACTCATTAATTAAAAATAAGATAGAATCGTTACCTTGGAGGTTGCACTCGGATTGTGCATCAAACCATTGAGAATCCCACTGAGAGAAATCGAGGTAGTGTCAGATCCTGCACCTATATTCGTGATGCATGTGGTGAAGACAGCCGAGTGAGGGAATCGGTTTGGATCAAGCTGGTTAAGTCTAGTTGCTTTGGAAAGAAAGTCGTCGCTCCATTCGACCCCTTTCTCGTCGTGATACTTGGACCTCTGGCTGATTTGCTGCGCTGTAAAATTGGCAACATGCACCAATCCACTTTGTGGTAGCTTGGTCAGGATCCACCAACATAGCCTGTGAAGCTCGCTGAATATCCCGACTGCAGCACAATATTTGAGGTAGTCGTGCAGACTTTTGAACAAGCCATTCCTGTCACGTCCGTCTGGTAGAAGCCCCAGCGATTTGCCTAGCTATGAAGTGTTGTCAGTCAATAGTCCATGAGAGATTCGTCCAAGCGGAGACGATGGATTCCAATCCTATAACCTCGTGAACTCTACCAGCACGTACCGTCAGTCGGCTGATGGCGTCAAAAGCAAAACATTGCATCCAAAATTGAAGATCGATATTTTTCTTTGCCTTAGAATTTTGACTCATACTGTCTAGCAGAACTTGAACAATCTCGTCCACATCGCCCTCCATGTTTCGCAGAGACGTGGCTGAGTACAGGTTGGCGACCTGTCTCCGGTATGCGGCATGTCGCAGGGCCGAACGATCTGTGAAAAGGTCTCGCCATGCTGCAGTAGGATCGCTGGAAGCATCGTACCATGACGCCTTGATGATTTTGTCAGTATTAGATCTAATGGGTCATCTCAATGAGCTTCCTTTGCTTGACAATTCACTTGCCTTCTCAAATGATTTTCCGATACCATAAATCACTTTTACCGCTTCAGGGTCATCTATGCTATACTGGCCTGGTGCAATTCGAACAACGGGGCCTAGTGCATTGAGTAAAATGCCAACATTCACTGTTTGGGGGTTCGGGAACGTACCGTAGAGACGGTGGAGTTCAATGTTGCGACGATGAAAGTTTCCACCCACGACGTGTTTAAGATACCACAATCTGCTGATTCGAGCCCCTAGTGGCCCGGGAATCTTCCCCAACGGTGAAGAGATATGTTGTACAAAGGTCAAAACTATAGAAAGAAAAATAAAAAGCAGGGAAGCAACGCCAATGGAAGAAGAGGTTACGAAAAATGAATGAATCATCATCCAGGCGTGTCTGGCTCTACTGAAGGTAGAGTGTGTTCGTATAGTATTTCGCAGTGTAAGAAAGTTTGCCTCCCGATTGGTGTCAGATGGAAGTCGGGTTTAGTTACACGTACAACAGGAAGGATTGAGGAAAAGTTATATTTTATATAAAGAGCTTTTGGCAGGCATACTACCGAGTATAGCAATGCACTCCACAATATCTAGTCGTGGGGTTCCCGCCTCCAGCCATTCAAAGAAACGGGGGACAAATACCCCACACCACCAGCTCCCGACTGCACGAGGAAGAGAAATTTTCTATGAGATTGGTTGTGAAAATGTGAATCTATGAAAATCTTATTATTCTAGGTGATAACTGAAAAAGCACCCCGCTTCCGAGAAACCACTTGATACTTGTCCCGTGTAGCCACCCATACTAGCCAAGGGCCAATGAGCAGACGCGTCACGTCCATCTATGAGAGACCTTGCGGATCCAAGCAGTCTGGTAAAATAACAGTAGTCCAAATAGAAAGCAATCAAATGTGCTTAGACGGCAGTGCCAGTAGGAGCGGTGCCCGAAAAGGTGCCGCTAGGAGCAGTGCCGTTGCCCGCGCCAGCATCACCGCCGGCGTCACCACCCATGCTGCTGCTCTCGGCGTGGCCTCCGTTCTCATCGAGGTAAGCAGCGATGCTGTAGTAGTCGTCATCGGTGTAGTCGGCAGAGCCGTTGATGCCAATCTGGATCCAGGCGAACAGACCGTCCTCGATAGAGGGACCGAGGTAAATGTACCTATGAGCGAAAGGGTCAGTCATTTGCAAAACCTAATTCGGGTTCGGACTAGACCAAGTACTTACTGAGGAAGAGGGTCGTACGTCTCATCGGCCTGGACAATTGACCACATGTCGTCGTCATTGGTAGTCAGAGCTTGAGTGTTCTCGGTGTAGGGGTAAGTAGCTTCAACCTCGGCACGCAGGGCGTCGTCCCAGAAGAGCTGGCCAATGTGGGCAACCTTGGCATCCCAAGAGGAGACGGTGCCGTTGCACTGGACGGAAGCGTTGGTGTGAGCCAGCAAGTGCGTGTGGACGGCGCGGCCATCGTAGTGGCCCGGGAAGATGGTCTCAAAGGCCACGATACCATCAGCGTCGGTGAGTTGGACACCACGGAGGTAGGTGGAGTTGAGGCCGTCGGCGGCGTAGTTGCCATCCGTGTAGATGCCACTGTAGACACCAGTCGCGTTGGCGTTCCAGATGTCAACGGCGACGTTCTTGATGGGCTCGCAAGTAGTGACATCGATATACTGGACCTCGAGGTACGTGTCGACACCTTCAGAGTAGAGAGACTCCTTTACGTCGGAGCGGAGATATTCTCCAACAACGTAGTAAGGGCCGTCAGTCACTTCGGGTGCCAGGATGCAGCTTGTGTTGGCGCCAAAGATATCCTCGGGAGAAGTGGACGAGTCGTAGTTGTAAACACCGGTCTGGTTGTGGTTGATGGCCTCCCAAGCTTGGAGGTCAGCAAGGTCACGCTTATCCTTGCGTGCAGCTATTTGGTGACACAGTTAGCAAGGACACGGAATCTGTGACGCTCTATCACTTGGATGGATTAGTCACTGGGGCGCATCGCCATATCAAACTCACCACCGGTAATTCCACGCTTTTGGCGCAAATTCTCGACCTTCTTGGCACGGCGTTGGATAGATCGGGCCTGAAGAGCCTGAGCCTGAGCAGAGCTTGCACAGTTGGCGAGCGAGCGCCCACACGAGCGTAATTGTCGCGCGCAGAAATCTCACGCTTCAATTTGTGAGCATCGTGCTTCTCGCCAGGGTGAGCAGCAACCAAGCCGGCAAAGGCGGCAACGGCTACCTTTGAGAAAGCGACCATTTTGAACGAATGGCGTATATCAAGGGCGTGGGAAGGATTTGCTGAAAGAGATGGAATGGAAATGATTGATAGAAGTTGTTTCGTATACTTGGCCTTGGCCTTGGCTGCATGGAGGGAGTTTTATATATTCATGATGCGCCGCCTCCTTACAAAGCTATGCTGAGACTGTGGTACTTTGAGACATGGATAGATCTCCCACCGCCCCTGTCAATGTTGAAAATCAGACCGCGACTCATCATGGGATCGATCGCCCGGGGGTTGCGCACAAACTGTGTAATGCCCCGGTGTTTGACGGGATTTGGAGATAGAGACAGGTCCACTCAGACTCAAGCACTACGGTTAAATCTAGTTGAAACACACTTGGTAGGTTCAATCCTTGACAGGGCTTAGACATGGACGTAATAATAAGCCTTTTTGTTAGACGATCATATAGTTAATTCACTCTACGAATAGTCCCGGGACTGCCTCTTGATAGAGTTATGGGACCGGAAGATTTGTTGGGGCTAACATACATAGAAGGATGCGTGCGTACGTAATCCTGGGTCTTGATGGCGAGTCCCCTTACGCCTTGGGCCCGCAAAAGCCACGTCTAGGCTGGTTCATATTCACTGTACCAAACAAAATGAGCATGTTCGCGGGATTTCATGGTATTACAATATCCACTTGCTCACAACTTGGTCTTTCGCGACAATGTAAGCATTCGGAGGCCAATTTTAACCTTGTTCGCGAGGTAAAAACGATTAAATTCAACCTGTCAGTATGTGGCGTCGCTATAAAACAACATGACTACTACTGCATACTACGTAAACGCCTGCATGCGTGGAATCATGACGATACTCCGGACTTGTTTATCATCCTTTAACAACGAATCGTCCGACCACAAGAATAGCGGAATGATTGCTCAACAGACCACTATTGTGTAAAAGCCTCATTGTATACATGATCGCGTCGTGTACTGCACTTGAGCCCCCTTAGTCCTTGCACCGGGCACCCGCAGAACAATTCTAGCGCAGCTTTCCTCCACAAAAACCTTAGCGGCGGAATACCTGTCGGGAAGACTAACGAAGTGCCGTTGCTGGGCCCAAATTGACCAATGAAACAATCGAGGCAGTGCTGCGAATGACGACGACTTCCTTTCCAGGTCCCAGGGCTACGGAACCATTTTCGTAATGTCTCGCTCTCGATTGGTAAAAGACCTCGGGGATCGACATGGTACTCTCAGAACTGGGTCAACTATCATAAAATATTAAGGAGAATGTTACGACTCTCGTGCGCCAGAGACTTCATCATCTCCAGGCTGAGAATATGCGCCACAACCCAAACATCGTGCATAGAGAAACAAGTTGATTGCTAGAGTCTGTTTTTAACTCTGCCAAAGTTTTCGGGTTTATATATATTCCCTGCATCCCCCACCCAGGGCGGGTTGGTCGTGATAATCGAGGACCGTCGCCGCCTCTTTTCTGTCACCAGCATCACCGTCTCACACAACGACGCCCTTTTCGTCGACTTTGACATTTCCCAACATGAACCCATCTCTTTTTGCTTGGTCCCAAGTTTCCATCAACGTGATGGCCCTCTGAGCATTCACGGGGACAAATCTTGCTCGGAACGGTTTTGGCAGGGTGTTTGCCCCGTCTTCGTAGGCGTCATCCGACACATCCACAAATTCTTCGTTCCCATCTGCATCAACAGGGGCTTTGATCTCAAACAGCCACAAGATGCTGGCCAAGGTAATGAACAGGCTGTTCTCGGCGAGGTGCATTCCTGGACAGATCCTTCGGCCTGCACCAAAATCGAAATGGTCTCGCCCTTCTGCGTCCGCCGAGGCAGCATACGCGCCGGCTTTAAGAGGATGTCCTAGATAGCGCCCTGGGATGAACTCCTCGGGTCTCTCCCATCGCCGAGGGTCATAGTGGATCGAGTACTGCGAGAGTGTGACGACCGTGTCTTTTGGGATGATATAGTTTTTATACGCGACGTCTGCAGTAGTATAATGGGGCGAGCCGATATTTGTGACAGGACGGATTCGTAATACCTCCTTGACCATTGCCCGAATATACGGGAGAGAATCTTCGTCGCCAAAATTTGGGACCCTGCCATCACCTATATGCGATGAAAGTTCTTTGTGTGCAAGAAGTTGAGCCTCTGGGTATTTGATGAGGTATTTTATGGCCGTGTTGAGTGCAGAGGATGTAGTTTCAGATCCTGCCTCTATCATTGCTGCAATTTACTTCAGAAAACATTTCGAGAAACGCGAGAAGAAACCAAGACTGAACTTACTCCCAGCTACGAAAGCGGCTTGCTCGTCGCTAATGTCTTGCTTTTGATAGCCACTCTCAGTAAACTGCTTCCCAAAACACTCAGGGGCGCATCCTTGACCAATTTGAACCTGGAGTCGGCTCCAATATTTCATCCAGATATGTCGCTGTCGACGATAAGATTGCAATGCTGAGGCTCTCCACCATTGCATCCAAACCGGCAGGCTGGCCAGGGCAGGGACGAGCTCGGCAATGTATCTACCAGGTGCAGCACTCTCCGAAAACTCCTTCATAAGTCCGTATATCTCGTGAACATCTTCGCAATCCTGATCGTGTACTGTAAGTGTCTGCGTTCTTAGGATTGAAGCTCCAAGACTAAAAGCGGACATAATGAGAACAGAATAAAGCGTACCCATACTGGCACCCTCCGCCCATAAGTGCTCGTCATCACAATAGAGGTAGTGTAGCGTCGGACGTGCTGATAGAAGCTTTCTTGATCTGCATTGCCGGTGAGAATATCGAAAAGCAACTGTTTTGTCTCAAATTCCTGACTCGGTTTGAATATCTCGGAAGCTTTGGGTGTGAGAAGCTTGTGGACCATGGCGCGAAGTTTCCGCCATCTTGGGGTACTGGCAGCAGAGCGTATAAGCAGGTCATCATGAGAAGCAAATCACGGGCTTCACGTCTCCAATTGACTTACTATGTCATGAGCAGAAATCTTTGCCCTCCCGAGACCAGGTCAGATACCACTGGCATTCCAGGGCGACCCGAGGTGACTGCAGATTGTTTGTCCAAGATCTCCTTGACAGCGGCAGGGCTGTTGAGGAATACCCAATTTTGCAATCCCATCTGCACCTTGAATAATTCGCCGTATTCATCAGCCCATTCCAAGAACTTGCGCTGTGGATGTTTGGTCAATTGGTGGGCATTGCCTATGAAAGGCAAACCTTTTGGACCGGGAATTGTTTCAAGACCACGTCGCCGCCAAGGAAACCATGTTGCCAAGAAAATACCCAGCAGGGCTAGTCCTGGAAGAACAAGCGATGTGAAGCTATATTCGTTCATGTTGTCTCGTGGGTTTTGCGTCAGACTAAAAGCTTTGATATTCATATGCCATGAGTTCCGAGGATTGGGAGTATGCTTGAAGGCTCGGGCGCAAGTTTAGGGGAACACCAAGAACATCAAGATAGAAAGAAAAGAGAGGTCCTCATAAGTAGCACACGTTGTAGAATCTGAAGTCCTTGGTAGTAATTTCTCTTTGAGACCTTGACCTACTGCTATTCGCGGCGTGAAGTGCTGTTGCCCGTTAGAGGCGTTCCGCGTACTACTACATGCGGCGTCTGCGGGGACTTATAGGGGGTATAGTGGGGTGAGTGACCACTGATTCAGAGCCCCCACATCAACGAATAACCTGCATTGAGGGGGAAATGGACGTCTCCAGTCGGTTCACAGTTGGCCTATTCTGTGTTTCGTTGGAAATTCAAACAGACTAGAAGATTTACATTTGTTTCTCAACATAGGGTTTTGATGATTCGCGTTGTTTCCAAAAATTGATCATGACTGAAAGAATTGGCAGATAGAATTGCACCTTACCCCTTCAAAATGACATACGAGGGCGTCGGAGTATCATCCGATAGGTCTCCAAAAGCGCTCCAGTGCCTGAATGTTTTCTCCTTCCACTCGGCCTCGTCTGCAATTGCAATCGCCAGGTCCGACGCGGTTATACCATGGAGCCTGCCGTCTAATCCATCATCGCTCCCATTGTCTCGTGCCGGCTTCAAAGGTACCTCATCGAACACGACCTCGTAGTGGCCGGTCCTCTTTCCGGGACGATAGAGGGCAGATGGAGAGACAAAGGTCCAACGAAATGATGTGTTTCCGTCAAAGAACATGTAGCTCGTCCGACACGCCGTGACAAATGTCAGTGCCTTGTCGTTTCGCAGTACCGCGGCCTCGTAGTCCTCAATGGTCTTGCGCGCAGCCTCATCGTCGCCACCGCTTTGCACCAGGAGCCGCGCCTGGCGATAGCTGCGCAGGGACGAACCAAGCGAGCCTAGTCTTTCTTCCATGTAGGCAACGTGAGCCTCGCTGTCTGCGATACCTTTACGGTATGCAAGCCACCAGTCTTTGCTCTCCAAGCAGGTTTGGAGTGTTTGCCCCGGTAACTGGAGCGATCCACAGCCCCCTACCATGATGAAGTAGCCGACACGCGCGGCCTTGACTGCAATGATGATCTTTCTGGTCAACTCAATAAATGACTCTGATTTCTCTAATTAGCCACAACACAGCTACAAGGGACAGACACGGGCCTGCTGAACCGCATTGACCCATGTATACATACGATATTGTAAAGCACTCTCGCCTGCTGTGTGCGGTCCAATCTCATTGACAAGCACATCTAGGCTAATGAAGGCTTTGATAAGACTTTCAATCGTGCATCCAGCAATATCAATGGAATAGGCTTCATAGCCGTCATGTCTTCCTATCTTTTCAGGGTTCCTTGAGATGCCGCGTACAGAATGGCCACGGTTCAGCAACTCAACAGTCAGATAAGAGCCACCAAAGCCCGCTGGGCCAATGACACCTGTCTTCAGTGCCATGGCGATAATAGACCTGCGAAACGTCTTGCATGGACCAGAGATATTGGTTGCGCTCAACCAGCAGTGTCAAATACAAAACTGAAAAATTCGTCTACATTATAGTAGCGGGGTAAAGCAAAGCAAACCAGGATTTCCCTCTCGCACCCCCCAAGTGACCAAGTGACCCCGCGAGAGGCAATAATACCTAACATTGCAACGCCGTAGCATCAATGCGGGGTGTGAGATTTGGTCGTGCTCAAAAGAAATTCTTTGAAGCTCTGTCAAGCGTGCAAGGGACCGCGAGTAGATTGTCAACAAGCTCAAGGTCAAGAGCCATAGCACAGGTCCAATTGAAACAAAGACCAAGACTTGAAATGGAGTCAGCAATTGGATTTATCGGTATGATATCTTCTTCCAACAAAGCCTCTTCCATTCTTTGACCAAAAAACTCCTGAATAGGACTTGGCGCCATGGGCTATGGAATGGCCAGAAATGTTAGGCAGAAAATGGACCCGAAGGCTAAGCTGCTGATCAACGACGTTGATCGTGGTATCTGTGAACGATTTGTCCAAGAATTAAGTGGTTTTGGCCCAGTCAAAATTGTCGACAATGCGAAAGAGGTGGCGACCGAAGCATTGACCATATTCTCCATCGTCCCAGCAGGTGAACATGTCAGGAGTGTCTACCTTGACGACCAGACCGGCGTGATTGCTGCAAAGTACACTACTCCAAGCATCAACAACACACGGAGATTATTTATAGAATGCAGCACCGTCGACATTACCACGGCACGGCTCGTTGGAAAAACGCTGCGAGACAATGATATGGGAACCTACATCGACTGCCCAGTGTCCGGAGGTGTCCCTGCGGCCGACAGCGGCAATCTCAGCCTGCTGTTGGGTATCGATGACAAAGATCTATCAGGGAGCCTATCACAGAGGCTTAAACAAGCTACAAAGTACTTTGGAGATCCAAACAAGATCTTTTACTGCGGTGGCCTGGGCTCGGGTCTGGCCGCCAAGATCTGCAACAACTATCTGTCATGCACTATCCTGCTGGCCAATTCCGAAGCCATGGCAACCGGGATAAAACTTGGTCTCGACAAACACGTCTTGCATAGAGTCATACAAGCATCAACCGGACAGAATTTCATGGCAGATAATGTTTGTCCGGTGCCTGGAGTCGTTGAACATGCGCCTAGTAGCCATGATTACAAGCTTGGATTCAAAGCGCAAATGCTCGCCAAGGACGTTGGCCTGGGCGTGGACGCTGCTCAAAGTGTGGGAATTGAGCCGAGTATTGGAAAAGCTGCATTGGAGGTCTACAAACAGGTTGCGCTGGATGAGCGTTGTATTGTGAGTGTTTTCTATTCTAAAACGACGCATCATGGACAATTATGCTTACCCATGTCTTTAATCCAGGACCGTGATGCATCAGTGGTCTATAGATATTTAGGAGGACCTGAATGATAGATTGGTCCAAGAACATCTAGATTGTAGCTCTTAAAGAGTGGTTCAAACTCTACTTGTGACTATCATTGCTCCAGTCCTCTTTGCCACCAATATATCGAAACACAACCCGTGAGTCACGGCCAACACAATTCGGATCCTCCGACGCTTCCTCGTAGGTTTTCAACCCTGCATCTCCGAGACAAAGACGGGCTCCAACCTGTTTTGCCGCATCAACAGCGAGGCCAAAGTCCTTCTTCATCAATTCCACCTTGAACCCTCCACGATAATCATGGCTAGATGGCGCCTCTGGGCAGATCCCAGGCACTGGGTTCCACTTGTCGCAGATACGACTTTGTGCTGTTGACGTGGCAAAGATACTGGCTAGCACGGTAGGATCCATGCCCGATCGGATGCCAATATTCATGGCCTCTGCCGTGGCGATAGCAATCAAACCTGAGCAATAGTTGTTGCAAAGCTTTGCAGTCAAGCCCAGCGATTGGCCGCCACATGCAAAGATGGATGTGCCCATGCATTTGAGAAGGTCATGCAAATCGTCCCATAGAGGATCGCCTTTGGAGCATCCAACCATGAAGGTGAGAGTGCCTGCCTCTGCGCCCAGGGAGCCTCCAGAGACTGGGGCATCATAGAAGTGAGTGTTGGGATGTGATTCTGTGACTCTTGCACGAACTTGATCGAAGCTTGCCACGTCAATAGTTGAGCAATCCACCAACAGCTTTCCGTCGACATTTGCCCTGAGAACGCCATCATCTGGGTTCAAGTATACGTCGATTACATGAGGCCCCGCAGGAACCATGGAAACCACCACCTCCTAGGTTGGAAAACAGTCAGTTGCCTGTAGGCGTATGAGTTGTGCATGTCTGCCTGCGTAGCTTACTGCCTTGTCCGCCACGGTCCGAGGGTTCGAGCAAGCTGTGACTCTACCAGGCTCTTCGGCGACGAATGCCTCCGTCGCTTTCACATTGATATCATAGACGTAAAGATGGGATTCGACACATTTCTTTCGGAGAATTCTGGCCATCGGCAACCCCATGGTCCCAAGGCCAATGAAGCCGATAGTCTTGGGGGACGGCATTGTGAGATAATCGTCAAGGTCAAGTCGCCTTCTGTAAGGCTTCGGTGGAGTTATGCCTTGTACTATCGACCCAACCAACGGATCGTCCTTTCTGCAGTAGATTGATAGGGACGAGTAAGATCCACTTGATCTTAAGCGCACTGACCATGAACGACGGGAGGCCAAATAGCAAGTAACAGCATCGAAAATGCATTCACTTGTTCCTGGATTGCTAATTACCACCACCAAAGGCTTGATCTTGGGACACTTTGGGACCGCGAAGTGGTTCGACGCACAACGACGTCATCTCATCAGTGAAAGGCCTAAAGTTGACGATTGGGGGTAGTAGATGGGGTTCGTCATGACGGCCGCTGTAGCTACCCCACGATCCTCCCACTCTCTTAAACTATCCGCTTACGGTGGAATGAATACTATATTTGACCCCACATTGGAGTATAGATCAGTACCCCGTGCATACTACGTACCTACATGGGGAACGATTCATACTCCATGGTGTGGGGGACTCACTGTTGCGCACGCATTATCCCAAAGCACAGAGGGCTTGTAGAGTAGCTATTCCTAGTCTATCATCGTCGACTTAAATAGATTTCTTGGTGAAACGTCATATGCACTCTAATCCCAATACGACAAGTTCCTCCGTTGGTGCTTCCCACAATGGCTCAACTACCTGGCGTCGTTAACAAGCTTCAACCTTCGTCTCTAGCAGAGAAATTTGATCCCAATCTCTTGATACAATTCTTTGTACTTTACTGTGTTGTTCACGCGACTTACAATTACTTTCTGCATCCACTCCGTCATGTTCCTGGTCCCTTTCCGGCCAAGATTACCGAATTATGGCGCACGCGACGGTACATGTTGGGCAATTGGCACCAAGACATTCTTGACCTGCATAAGCTCTACGGACCAATTGTGCGTGTTTCCCCAAACGAAGTAAGCATTGTCGACAAGAATGCACTCGTATCGGTATTCGGTCACGGAAAGGGGACTAAAAAGGTGAGCATGAAATTCTTGCTTCAATATATGAATTGGCAGAATAAAGGGCCGATGGCTAATGGGTTGTTTAGACATCTTGGTATGATGTATGGAAAATCCCCGGCTTGAGTAATAGTGTAAGTTGGATTGACAAATCAATATTTTCAATATGTATTGATACTAAAGCTGTGGTATCAGTTCTTTAACTCGACCGATCCTACCGAACATTCATTTCTCCGAAAGCGAGTCTCGGCAGTCTACAGCATGTCCCACATTCTGTCTCACGAATCAGAAATTGTCAATCTTAGTAATATGCTTTGGTCGCAGCTCGACGAGCTTGCCAAGAAATCGCATCCCGTGGCTCTCCACGACTGGGCTTCCTTCTTTGCCTTCGACGTGGTGACCAAGCTCGGGACGGATCAGCCTGTCGGCTTCGTCAAGCAAGGCAAAGATGTTGATGGAATCATACACTCCATTTGTCAAGGGTTCTGGGAAAGTGCCAATACGGGCTATCTACCAGGCAAGACTTTGTGGTTCAACAACCCGCTGAGCCGATTTGCCCAGAAATTTGTGGGTAGCGGCATCAAACCAGCGGCATTTTGGGTATGGATGGGATCCACGGTCCAAGGACGGCTATCAGAAAAGGCGGACGAAGAACGGACGCGAGATATGCTGGACCATTATATTTCCATGAAGGAGGTAGACGGTTCCAGCGCATCCTTACCGTCCATCCTGGCAGAAGTGGGTAATCTCGTGGGAGCTGGTGCCGACACCACCTCTATCGGTATTCGATCCGTTCTTGCGCAGCTCATTCTTCATCCCGAGGACTACCGCCGCGTTCAAAATGAAGTCGACGAGGCGGCGAGAGCGCATAACATGGAAAACATGCCATACACCGTTCTGGATAAGCTTCCATTTCTCAATGCTTGCATCAAGGAAGCCCTGCGGCTGCATCCGAGTATACTCTGGCAATTGCCGCGCGAAGCACCAGCTGCGGGGATCAATATCGCCGGTCATTTCATTCCCTCGAGCGCTACCATCAGCATGAGCCCCATAGCTCAGAACCGCGATGCTGAAACATTTGACTCAGATGCAAATGACTGGAATCCTCACCGCTGGCTTCCCACTGAAACTAACCCTGACGCCAGTATCAAGGAGATGGATAGGTACAACGTCACGGTAGGTTCAGCCCATCCTCGTTTCGTCAAAACAATTTGAACAGAAAAGTCATGAGATCACAATGCTAATAAGTCATATCTCTCTAAGTTCGGATACGGGTCGCGGACTTGCGTAGGTCGTAATCTCGCTCTGGTCGAGATCAACCATTTCGTTGCCGAGTTCTGTCAACGATACGATGCGGAATTTATCAACAAGGAAAAACCTTTCAAAATTATCTCACAGTGGTTCTCCTACCAGGATGATATGTTTGTGCGTCTAAAACTACGAACATAATCGCTAGAAATATTCTTGATGGAAGCGGTGGCTCTTGACGCGAATACAACGAAAATGTACAGATAGCATTAGCATATTTTAATCCCAACTACGGTGCTTTAGCTTTTGTCTTGCAGTTGAAAAGTGCTGGGTTCTTGCAAATACCGCTAACGGGATACTTGATCATTGACGAAGTAATGAAGGTATGTTAAATGGAAAGGAAAGAATATCAAGCTACATTCTCAAATGAAGCATGATCCGTATTGCTTGACCACAAGTGAATGAGTAGTCCCCAGCAAAGGTTGGTTATGCCCATGCAGTTAGACCCGATGCAGACGCTGCCAACCAACAGCACCCCGCATTGGGGCCAGTGGGTTGTGGGGTGGTGGTTGTAGCGTAGCTGCCCCTGGAGTGCCTCTTGCCAATTGCTCTGCTGACCTGTAAGCTAGAAGCTAGTATAGGCCAGTCCCAACTCCAGTACAAAGTATATAGTAGTAAATACTACCTAGATCAATACTTATAATAGATTTGTTCACTTTTTGTCAAATAAGTCGGTGACACGTTTGAACCACTGCGGTTTTCAAGCAATCTTGAAATCAACCAGCCAGGGTCCTCGCGTATATACAATCATGAGTAGCGTACCTGGGTTCAACAGGGTAAGTCATTACACCAATCAACTCGAAGCTTCATTTTCGCATAAGTGCTAAGATAGTCAATCACAGATTATAGTAGTTGGCGCTGGCCCGTCGGGCTTGCTGTTAACTCTTTTGCTCGTGCAGAATGGCATTGATGTTACCCTACTGGACCAGCAAAGTGACCTAGATACCAATCCTAGGGCCACCCACTATGCGGCTCCGGCCATGTTTGAGCTCAATCGCGCAGGTGTCGGAGACGATCTTCGCGCAAGAGGATTTCTTCCCGCTGGGGTCAGCTGGCGCAATATTGACGGCGAGATTCTAGCCAGTCTTGATGCAAACGTCCTCGGCGATGATCCCGACCGCATGACATGCTTGCCTCTTGACCAGCTGGGGCAGATACTCAAGGAACATGTCGCGAAGCAAGACAAGGCAAAGGTGCTCTTTCATCACAAGGTGATCAGCCTCGGTCAAGATGACCAAGAAGCCTGGGTTGTCGTGGATACCCCCAATGGCAAACATACATTCAAGGCGGACTACATCGTCGGTTGTGATGGGGCCAACAGCCAAATTCGCAAGTCGCTGTTTGGTGATTGGGAATTCCCCGGCAAGACCTGGGATCAGCAAATTGTAGCCACCAATGTGAGTGCACCGAAAAAAAAAAAAAAAAAGATCTAGCTGCTGTTTCCTCATCCTTGTACAACGGTTATTGACTCTGGCTAGACGTACTACGACTTTGACAAGTACGGTTGGAATGACTCCAATTTCATTGTTCACCCGGAGCATTGGTTCATGGCGGCAAGAATCACCAAGGACGGCCTGTGGCGAGTGACATATGGCGAAAAAGCTGGTCTCAGCCCCGAAGAATTAATTGCGAGGCAGCCAGAAAAGTTCAGACAGATGCTTCCAGGGCATCCCGGGCCTGATGGGTATAAAATCAAAAACTTCAGTCCATACAAAGTCCACCAACGCCTGGCCAAGTCAATGCGAGTTGGTCGATTCCTCCTTGCAGCCGACGCAGCCCATCTTTGTAATCCTTTGTACGTATGACTTTGAAGACGCCATGGCCTTTAGAAGTCGCTAATTCGGAAGTTTCTCATATTGTAGCGGAGGGATGGGTCTCACCGGCGGAATCGTTGATGTCGGCAACTTATTTGATTGTCTGAAGGGCATCTACGACAACAAAGCCGACCCCACCATTCTGGACAAGTATAGTGCTATAAGGCGAGAAAAGTACTTGGACATTGTCGATCCCATCTCAAGCGCCAACCTTACGCGACTCTTTGAACTCGATCCGGCACGAGCTGTCGAGCTGGATCCATTCTTCCAGATGGCACAGAAAGCGAGCACAGACGAGAAATTTTCCAGAGAATTACAAAATGTATGCAACAGCTGCCCGTCAAGACTGTACTTCAAGTTAGCTAACCCACCGCTACGCACAGCATGTAAAGAATCTTCAGCATGACTTTACACAGTATTATTCGTCTGGCGAGGAGGCGGAAATCCATTGATAATCTCTTCATATTGGATCTGGTGTTACTAGCAAAGGCTGCATGGGGGATAGGACCACATTCGCATATGCTGCAATGTAACCACACTCGACTACAGAAATCGTGGGGTAGTTGATCGGTAGGTAGTTGCGGGGTATTTTTGGATTCGGTTCCCAGGTGTCAAAGGCAGCGGCAAACACCATTCAATCAGTACATAACCTCTATAGAATCTACGTCGACTGGACTCATGACTCTGACGTGAATAACTGAATTGAATCGTTGTCGAGGCATCCTCCAAAAGCGAGGCACTCACTCATCCCACAGCATGTCGAGTCCGGTACCCCTTCCACCCGCTAGTGGGGATGTAGAGGTCGTCTTGCTAGACGGTGGTGGGTTTACCACTGCCGACGATACGAGATTACACCAAGACGGACACGAAAAACCGTTTTACCTTTACGACTGGTGCTTTTATATTCACCATAAAACCAGCGGGCAGCGGGTTCTGTGGGATCTCGGGTTGAGTGGGGTTAGTAGATTCAAGACATTTTGCTAGGCGGCATTATCCCCCTCTAATTACAGGCTGTAGGATAACGCCGACTATACACCATTTGTCGTCAACAATCATTTTCGTTTCTGCAACCCGACTGGGCCAAGACAGCCACTACAGGAGCAACTTGGAGCTTTGGGTTTGCAGGCGACGGATATTACCACCATCATATTCAGGTATGTCGTGCGACCACTCGTCGACCGTGGACTGCTTTCGGAGAGGTAACCGTTGCCAGTCATGCGCACTGGGACCACTGCCGCCCAGCAAGCGCGAAATTCCCAAATGCAAAGATCTATTTTGGTCCTGGTACTAGTCAACATTGCTCACCTGGCCATATTGTCAATGACCAGATCTCACAATCAGTTGAATGGGACTCCAGATATTTCGGCGACGATGAGGTAAGGACCGAGTCATTTGAGGAGCTTTCCGGACCGTGGAGTCCTTGGGGACCCTTTGACTTGGCCATGGACTTCTTTGGTGACGGAAGTTTTTTGATTATTCAAGCGCCCGGTCACATGCCCGGAAACCTCGCAGCATGCGCGCGTCTTGAGACTGGCGAGCGCATTTTGCTATCTAGTGACTGCTGCCATTCAATGTGAGTCTGGAAATTTTGGAACTCGCGTATTATCGATGCGGGCAGTGCCTGGCCATTTGAGTTACCGCTAATTATGAAAACATCGCCGATACAGGGACATTTTGCTAGGAAGACGAGAAATGGCCATATTGCCGCTTCCGGATGGCTCTACATTCTGTCTGCACGCAGATATTCCGGCTGCCAGAGAGACGATACGTAGACTAAAAGAGTGCAAGGAGAAATACGGGGTGCATATTGCCATGACGCATGATCCTGAATGGATTCAGCTACGGGACAACAAAGTCCTAATGTCCATGCTTCCGCCGTACTTTGACGACGCTTGTCTTGACCGCATTCGGGCTGGAATGCAACCTTAAAGGATCACTACCATGTATAGCATACAATAGCAGCAATGTCATGATATACCAGTTCCTCTCTTGGTTGCACAGGATTCGATGTTCACTGTGCTGCGAAATGCAATAGCAAAGATTGCGGGGGAGCAGTGAGGGGAGCCCGGCGAGCACATTGATGTGCTCTTGAGACGTCATACGGCAGACGGGCATTGAAGAAGACTATTGACCCCTCAATAAGCATTTGGTCACCTATAAATGCAGGAATCAACATCGATTTCTTTCAGTCAACCGTCAGAGCAGACATGTCTGACTAGTCATTTGTTACTGCATTTACTCAGTTTATCCGCTCAGGCAATGGCCGATTATCACTCTGATGTCTCGCGAGGGCTTGCACACCTTGAATCGCGCAGCCAAGTCTATGCCCAGGTCTCTGCTCTGGAGGGCGGATGGTTTACTCTGCCACTCAGATTCTTCATAGCCGGTGTTTCCGAAAACGAGAAAAGTTACGTCCCGTCGTTGGCCTTTCTCATTACCCGTGGTAATGAGAGCGCTGGTCCAAAGCATACTTTATTCGACTTGGGTCTGCGCCAAAACACGACCACACTTGAACAACCAATACAAAATCATCTACTGAGCCGTCAACCTACCGAGCTATCCCCAGATGTGCGAGAGAGTCTGGCGAAGGCGGGGACCAGCACCGACGTTATCGAACAGGTCATTTTGAGCCATCTTCATTGGGATCATATTGGCACACCGCTGGATTTCAGAAAGGCTCAATTTCGAGTTGGTGCAGGGTCTTTACCATTGCTGGAGACAGGTCTGAATTCACACATGTCACATTCTCATTTTCAGAGCGACCTGTTCGACGGTTTGAACGTACAAGAGTTCCCGGCACCAATGGCTTCCCAAGACAATCGCACACACAGCACTACAGGTTCGTGGGACACGGTTGGAGAAATGCCTCTGCTAGATCTTTACGGAGATGGTTCCGTGTATGTAGTTGACCTGCCCGGTCATTTGAGCGGCCACGTCGGAGCTCTCGTTCATACCGGACCTAGAAGTTGGGTACTTCTGGCTGGCGATGCTTGCCACGACTCCAGGCTTCTTTCCGGAGAAAAGGATATCGCCGAGTGGGAGGATGCATACGGTCGGGTCTGTTGCATACATGCTGATCGATCGCAGACGGAGAAAACATTGGATACACTGCGGCGATGGCTACGCGAGGCAAAAGATGGTGGCTACGACTTCAGGATATTGCTTGCGCATGATGCTTTATGGGCCAAATCGAACCCAGAAACCTTCTACCCAGGGCACATCAATTGAATCTTCAATATGTTGACATTATAAAACTTACAGAAACAATCCATATACTAAAAGAGAAAAAGAGAAAAAAGATGTTAACCTAAAAGCTGTTTTTTTTTTTGGCTTAATTTCATGAAAAATCGATTTTCGACAGCCATAGTATTATAAGCTTTTTTGGTGCTCCGTATACTACCTTACCTCATACAACACTGCAGCGCAGATGAACTACTAGGTACATAAATTACTGGGCATGCTTGGTGCCATCAATGGGGGAGGGGGAATTGACTTGAATGTGGGGTAACGGTCGAAGTGAATCTTCAACTCCACTAAATTGAGCTCCTAATACTCCCCTGGGGCTTAATCTCAAGCCTTAGGCTTGTATAATACCTCGCAATCATTTGTCTTTTTGAGCTGGTCTTTCTTTCTTCTGTGCCAAGTGATTTGATACGAGGACGAACTGCTCTTCCTTTGGCCCAATACTACGAATGCTTACTAGCTAAACAATTTCTCGACCATTGTCATATCTCGTTACTACACGTCAGATAGCGTGTACCCGCCGACTGATTCAGAATGGCATCCCAAGAGTCCATTTCGGAAAGCAACAGCGAGAAGCAGGCGCACCGGGTTCTCTACGAGCAAGGTCTGAAAATACGCTGCGAGGTGGCTGGCCCGGCTTATGTAGACGCTGCCCTCCGGAGAGGGTCCTCGGACTTTGCGCGGCCCATGCAGGAGCTCGTGACCGAAGCTTGCTGGGGTTCGGTCTGGTCGCGGCCGGGCCTCGAGAGAAAACAGCGCTCGCTGCTCAACATTGCCATGTTGTGCGCGCTGAATCGCGGCCCCGAATTGACGGCGCATGTACGAGGTGCTCTCAACAATGGTGCCAGCGAGATCGAAATCAGGGAAACATTGTTACAGGCGGCCATTTACTGTGGAATGCCCGCCGGCATCGAGGGGTTCAAAATTGCGGAGCGAGTTATTGAGACAGTCAGGAACGAGAAGAGGCAGACTGAAGTCGCAGAACATTGAATGGAAGACCGAAAATGGGCTTTTGGAATTGGCTTGTTCTGGAGCTTGCCTGGCAATTGGATTGTAAGTAGATTCATGTTTCAGTGGCGTTGATAGAGATTCGCTCTCTTCGCATTGGTATAGAATGGAACTTGCCCAAGAAGGAAAGAAGGAAGCAACACAAATAGTCAACATTGGCGACTTGGTATAATGTCCAATCACTGTATGCCTTTTTCGACCATACGTTGAGTATAAACGGACCTCGCGTGGATTCCTACTGGCTGGCAAGTTGTAGTGGAGTGAGCCATAGCAAGAGGCAAGGATGGCACTGATCGACACAAGGTCCAAACTTGTCCCGTCTATGGAGCCCAGCGTGAGAGAAACGTCATACTTTCCCATCATTTGCCCGACGTTCCGACTTGCTTTCTGAACGAGGTCAGCTGTGTAAACGAATACAATTTGTCGAATCAAATTGATTTCTTTACGACGCACGAAAATGGCCAGCCACAAGAATGTCGACCCTGATTGGCTTTACTGAGCTTGCTATGCTTGATTGAAGTCTTGGTCAGTTTTTATTCAGCACAGAGCGCGCTGAAGAAACAGCACTCAGCACTGCACAAGCTCAACAAACCCCTACTAACCCATGTATTTCCCCGCAATTATTCCCCGCAATTTTAAGCAGCAGATCTCCGAGACTTAGCGACACCCGCCCTAGTTGCGGGCGGCAGTTCAAAACCACTGGCCTTCTGTTGGGCCATCCCAGCTAGAAGCGACAGCGTCCACGGTCAATCGGGGAATTGCAACAATGCGAGCTCCTCTGTTCTCCATTACTCGTTGTTTTCTCATTCTCGCAGTCTGACGACGGAGAGGAGCAAACAGAGGAATCTTGCCCTTCACACATGTCGACTGCAGCTGGCCTGACGGTTGATCAAAAATGGCATCCGCGCTTGTAGTAGAACCTAGCCTGGCAGCAGCGCCAGCGCCGCAAACAGGGGTCGGGGCAAGGGCAGTCGGTCGCCGGCAAGGACGCCAGTACAAGTGCGCATACTGCTCAAAAGTGTTCAAACGCAGCGAGCATCGCTTGCGCCACGAGCGTACTCATACTCACGAGAAACCGTTTTCTTGTCGGTATTGCAAGAAGTCGTACTCGCGAAAGTAAGTCTGAGCTATATTACAATCACTGCTTTTCCCCTTCGCTATTCTTGCCGGTGTACCATGGTACCTAGGCACCTGGCCTGTAGCAAACCACGGCTGACCGGAGCTATCCCATTGGCCTTGTAGAGATTTAGTCGTACGGCACGAGCGAACTCTTCACGCCCAAGAACATAATGATGAACAATCAATCGGTGGCTCGCTCACCAGCCCTAGCTCTACACAAGATCGTTCCCCAGTCTCAGCCGACGATTCGGTGCGCCCCGATCAACCGCCGCAGCATTCGCAGAGGGGTCAGAACAGAGGCACACGATCCCCCAATTCCACCCAGCGCTCTGCCGATGCCTTTTCCACTAGCAATGTCCCAGCTCAACCTTTGCCGACGCCAGCAGATGAGAGGGCTCCTGAGATACCGGGCTTGGCATCTCACGAGGACCTGATTCTACCATCAGGGCCAGATATTTCAACTTACCTCAACGATCTCAATGATTTCATGTTCGACGCAGAGGACGGTATCACAATGTACGACACAAGTGCAGCAGTATATACCACAGCTGGCAACCTGCAACAAATAATACCCGGGAGTCAAGAAAATCCAGAGATGCATCTCGAAATGCAAGCACGGCAGGATTCAGCTCTTTTGAACACGGCGGCATCCCTACCGATACCTACAGCTCCATCTCACACGTCCACAACACAGATAAGCTCTGCCAATCAGCCGGATCTCATGTTCACTACGGATCTGAATCAGCTTCACCACCAGTCATCATCATCCTTCATGGGAAACAGCGACGTTCCGCCTTTCCTTGACGGAACCTGTGGCTGGTCAGCACCTCAAACAGCTCAAGTAAATGGAAAATGTCCAGACGCCACTGGCCATGTACGGGTTACGCAGAAGCCACAGCGAGCTTTGCCATGCTTGCGCGAGGGCACACCACCTTCGGCACCAGACTTGAAACTTGACAAGGATGTATTCGAAGCTTTGAGCAAAGACCTTGCTTGCCGTATTAACAGTAATGATCCACCACAGCAGTTGCCCAATGCTTCTCTATGCCACGGGTTTCTAGGTAGCTATGTAGAGTGCTTTGATCAGCACCTCCCCATGATTCATTGGCCTACACTGGATCTTAAATCGACACCCAGCCCGTTGATATTCTCCATGTGCAGTATTGGAGCTCTCTATCGACTAGACCGCCGCCGGGCTCGTATATTTTATGACTTGTCTTCGCGAGCTGTTGCCACAGTAAGTGTGCCGGCATGCTCGCTCCCATGGCGAGACCTGGAATTTTCCACTATCTAACTAATGATTGTGCAGACTCTCCCTTGTACGCAGACACACGAGTCCTTTACACGACATGGCCCATTGTGGGCAGTGCAAGCCAAGATTCTTCTTTCGATGTTTGCTATGCTGAGTGGAGAGGAGGACTTGACATCATCGTCAATGAATGAGCACGCGTTCTACACACTAGTGAGTTTGTCACTCAATTCTACGAATATCAGACCTCGTAGTAAGTATGTATATGCATTCACTGACAGAGATAATCCAAAGGTCTACAGTAAGCAGAGACAGTCCCTCGCAGAAGACAATGCACAGTCTATGGTATCCTGGGCCAATTGGGCCAAGAGAGAAACATGGAAACGAGTTCTAGGCGCCATCTACATCTCAAGCACTCTGTACATGATCATATATGGTATCAACCCGTGCTTCAATGCCACAACCGACCTAGAGTACGAGGCTCTCGAGGATGAAGATCTCTGGAAAGCCACATCAGCATCCGATTGGCTTGAACTACGCGCGCAGAAAGCAGCCGCAAGAAAATCGAGCTCCTGCACCATGAAAGATGTTCTTCAATGCATCTTGTTGGAGAACCCCGAGGGACAATCGAATCCAGGCCATGTCTGGCCATTCGCCATGTTGGTTCTTACCCATGGCGTTGTTGTCCATATTTGGCAAATCGTACAGGTGATGCAGACTTGCTCTCAAGTCTCTTATCTGTCCGCAGACGAAAGCAATACCTTCGCGTCCCGTATCCTTGATCTGGGCATCACATCTCTCGGGAGATGTCAATCGTTCCTCGCGGGGAACAAGAAGGACGACTTGGATCTTCCAGAAGATTCTCAGGTGGCATGCCCGATATTCGCATCTCGTTCCGTCTTGAGAGTTGCGTATAGTCAACTTTTCAAAACTGCAGTCAGTTTCAACCGTTTCAACCTATTTGCCCAGGACCCGAGCACTATCGAGGTTCAACTGTCCCTATTTGCAAACGAACCCATACGCATGAAAAGAAGTCCGCAACTCGTCGACGTTCTCAGGAACATGTTGGAAGGACTGAGTGTACCAGTCCGGATGGGATACATGCTCGTCCGAAAAACCGCATCTTTTCGCTGGAGCGTGGAACATGCTGCGGCATGCTGGGATACAGGTGAGTGCCATACTTTTTGGCTCTTTTGGGAGCTCCAGGACTAATCAGAGAATCTCCCCAACCCAGCGCTCTTCATCACCAAGTGGGTTCATTGCGTAGAACTGGATACATTGCGCAATATGGAAATCAGTTCAACGGAATGTGAGCTTTTAGCAGAAGTCCGCGAAATCCTCAGCGAAACAGATATCGACCTTGATCAGACGCAATCCCTTGCAGCGGGGATGGCTCGCACCTGGGCTTGGCTTCTTCGAGATGTAAGTCCGTCTTTTGTCCTTTGCTTTTACAAATCACCGGTCTTTCTGCTATTTTTGGCGCAAAATATAATGCCAAGTCTTTTTTTTTCTTTTTTCCTAATTTAGATGCTGCCCACCTTAGGTCTGGGTTTGGGGAATCACTCCCCGGTTAGGTGCTGTTCTGGACCAGCTCGCATCCGCGTACGAGCGCTTTCACAAATCGTGCCGGACCATGCCCATCGGCTCCAATATACAATAGATCATTAGTCGCCACCTGGTCTTGATTCGAATTTTGCCCGGTTCCGAATTCAAGCCGCCCTCTCTCAGTGTCATACGCCATCAGCACTTAGCCCTACCATGAACATTCATACACACTCTCAGGCGCGCGCACACGCACATACCCTTCCATTTTCTCAATAATATCTTGTCATTGAAAAACTGTAGGCCTAGCTGGAAAATCAACACAATATCCAGGTAAATCAGTCAGCTCATGGTCGGCACAACTCCAAAGTCCAACCCGCACTCATAGGCTATCTCCCCAGGCCACTGAATTGGTGGGGTGCACAAGTAGGTGATTAGCCGCAACAGTCATCACCCACCTCGTGCAGTGCTTTATGATGAATTGTTGGGGTTTCTCGACAACCCTGAGTTGGTGTGTGGTAGAGTGGTGGGATCCAAAGGGACTATGTGTTGTAGCATGAGGAATATGGCGAAGCCTATGGGCCGAGGTCTTCGTATGAATGCTGCCAAACGGTGATCGCTCTCGAGGGCATTGTTCAGAGTGATGCATCTTTTCTGGAAATAGTGCTGGGTCGAGGCACTGACTCGATAGAAGTCCTACTGGTTATATTGATGCAGATTGGGCCTTCTACCATCTACTTGATGGACTCCATCCCCTCCCGTTGATCCACCCTAACGACAGATCTCTCTGAACACAAAGGGTGCTTATGGCTGCTATACCCCCAGATCTTGTTGCCCCGCATACTCCAATTGGAGTGTGAGAATGTGGGGACCATAGAGTGCTGTTTGGGTTATTGATGCTATAGGGGATTGTGGGGCATAGTATGATAGTGTCGTCGCTGATGAAGAGAGGAACATACGCTCGGCACTTCAAATCTTTAATGTCTATCTGTAGGTCAAACTATTGTCCTCCTTCGCCTGAGCGCTGCAAGATATTTGATCCTCCAAGCACAACATTCAATCTACTCGTCACCATGCGTCTTTCAAGCTTGCCCGAAGGCAACATGTCGCTCAGTTTCGGCGTCGCCTGTATACTGGTGGTTTTGGGGTTTTACGTTTACTTGGTGCCAAATACTCTGAAGGTGAGGGAGAATGATTCCCTTTTGCGACGTTTTATTTTCCACTTTCTCCATGCGCCATTGAAGCCCTGAACCAAATCCATTCTAGGACATTCGAAGACGAAAGCTCCCACCAGGCCCGCGCGGTCTGCCACTGGTAGGCAATCTCTATGATTTGGCCGACTCGGAGCAGGTCCGAGTAAAGGTCCGCGAATGGCATCGCAAATATGGCGACATCTTCCATACCCAGATTGGCGCCACCGATTACGTCTGGCTCTCCTCGCCCAAGGTGGTCAAAGAATTAATGGACAAGAGATCCGGCATCTACTCGTCGCGCCCGCACCTACCGCTTGCTCAGGATGTGGCGAGTGGGAAATCGCGGCAGCTCTTCATGGCTTACGGACCAGACTGGCGGGCCTTGCGAAAACATAGTCACGCGCTCCTCAATCAGACTGCATCGCGAAAGTACCAGCCGGTACAGGATGCCGAATCCAAGGTTGTGTTGTGGGATCTTTTGGAGCGCCCCGATCAGTTCTACATGATTAATCGCCGGTACTCGACGTCGGTCATCATGTCGGTGGCTTATGGCCATCGCATCCCATCCTTTGAGGATCCCTTGATCACCAAAATCTTTAGCGTCCTCGAGCACCTCTCCATCATGATGGCTCCCGGTGCCTTTGCCGTGGAAACCTTCCCAACACTGGCCCACTTGCCCGAGTGGATGTTTGGGAACTGGCGCACGTGGGGCAAGAACGCCTTTGCTCACGACAGCAAAATATACCTGGACTTGTGGGAGACCTTGAAGAGGGACACGGACCAAGGAACAGCCAGAGACTGTTTCTGCAAGGACTTTTACCTCAGCTCACCCGCCGACAATGGCATCAATGACTTGCTTGCGGCGTACACGTGCGGCGGACTCATCGAAGCTGGCTCCGAGACAACGGCCACCACAATCAACAACTGGACCTTGGCAATGACTCTGTATCCAGAGGTCATGAAGAAGGGCCAAGAAGAACTCGATAGAGTCGTCGGCCCAGAGCGGTTACCCCAGTGGGACGACGAGAACAATCTCCCGTATATTCGTGCCATGATCAAAGAAACGCTCAGGTGGCGACCTGTCAATAAGTTCGGCATGTATCATGCCTCTACTCAGGATGATTGGTATAATGGGCACTTTATCCCAAAGGATTCGGTGGTTGTGCTCAATTGGTGGTATGCAAACATCTTTCGATTCACGTTTAGCTAGTAGGCAAGCTTGCTCACGTTTTCATTCCAGGGCGATACAACGTGATCCGTCTCTTTATGAGAGGCCAGATGAGTTTGAACCATCGCGCTATTTCGAGAGCCCGCTCTCTGCGGCAGAATACATGAACGTGAACGATCCCTACGAGCGAGACCACTTTTCGTACGGTGCTGGCCGGTAAGTCCATGTTCTGTTTCCGAGCAACCAAACTAAGTTCCCATGCTGACATGGAGCGTGTTATTACAGACGCGCTTGTCCGGGTGTGCACTTGGCCGAAAAGTCGCTCTTCATTGTCATCTCGCGCACGTTATGGGGGTTCAATGTCGAAAAAGCAGTTGGCACAGACGGCGATGTGATTGAGCCCGAAACCAAGATGATGCCTGGGTTCCTGAGTGTTCCGGAACCGTTTAAATGCAGCATCACATGTCGGTCGCGGGCACATGAAGTTTTGATCCGGAGTTCATTCGAGGAGGTTCAGGCCCAAGGGATATAATATCGCGAGCGAGTTTCCCATGGCACTCTCCTTCGGTCATTCATTCATCTCTTGCATGTTGCTTGGCATATTTCTATGGCATTAAAGTGCAAATAGGCATGATATCCTCAACGCGACAGTGCGCTGGCCAAAAGTGAAAAGTATCCATTGACAAGACTCCACCTGCAACAAGAGTACCCTTTGAGTAGCATACATAATCGCGCTGAAATACTTGTGTGCATGCCGCTGGAGCAGCGCTGGATGCCTACAAGGTTCGTCGCCACGACCATTGATAAGAACGGCAGCAGGCTACCATCCACTGTACAAGTAAGCATCGATGGTGTTGACCTTGTTGATTCTCTAGCCATGCAATAGGATCAAAGTGCTTGGCTAGAATATCCAAAAAATATGAATTGAGGAGAGGAGTTGATCGTGTCACAGATGAGAATTCCGCTTGCATTTTAAGTACTAGGTATGGCTTAAATGCCTTGAGCAAGTGATACAGATCGAAACAGTCGTGGTCAGTGGCTGCAAACATCAATTGAGAGTATCACAACACAGTGCACAGCACGAATGATTTCCAATTGGCAGATAAGAGCAAATTATTTAATTAAAAGTCTTTTCTAATTCTTGAAGGGCACCGTTGGGGGTCAACGATGCCCAATCTCCTAATACGACGTGCCTGAGATGCCAGAGATGCCAGAGATGCCTATAGTGCCAGTCACTGAAGTGCCTATCCTAAAGTGCCCGTCCTGAAGTGCCTGTACCGTCATGTCTAGCCTGAGGTGGCTCGATGCCAGCAGTGGCGACGTCATCATCGTCGTCGTCTTGGGTCAGATCGATTACGCCGTCTTCAATCTTCACCTTTTTGGTGCTATGAGGTGCAGGGGAATGCTTCGAATCGTCTTGCACCTCGATGGCTTTGATGCTCGAGATGTCGGAATGTATAGAATGCCAGAATCTCACATCACAAGTGTTGCTATCCCAGTAAGGGAGTGCCTTGTATGTGTTTCTATCCCTCTGGGGGTAGTCTGGTTGCCTGCTTGCTTCGTCAGCCTGCCGCACCATCAGGCTCCATCGATCCCACCGCTCCAGAGTTGCCTTGTTTTCTGGTGCTAGTGTGCGGGTGCGTGCAGTTCGCCTGTATGCGCTGTATAGCTCGTGATGAGATGCTACAGTCAAACCTGAAAACGTGCCTCGCATGGAGTCGAGTGCCTGATGTACTGCCTGAATATCTTCAATGCTAAGTTGGAACAGCGTCTTGTCGTTATCGGCATGCTCGAAGCCGTCTTGGCCTTCGCTTTCCACCACTTGCCTGAGTGCCTTTAGGAACATGCCACCCACTTTCTGCTTGTCCATCTCCAAGGAGTGCCAGATACTCAATGCCAATGCCGCTCTATTGACGTAGTCCAAGTTTGCCGACACTATTGCCTGCGCAGTCTCGAGAGGCAACGGGCCAAGGGGTTCCAGATGACCTGCCACACGGAGAGAGATTGCCTTTTGCAATGCGTATCGGAGCCTGGACAGGTCACCCTCCCACATTGGATGAGGGAGGAGGCGACCTAGGAATCTGTAGATGAGATGCCGTTGTGCCTTGTCGGACTCGCGGAGGCCCCACGTGAAAAGGTCGTAGGGTGTTGACTGGAAGATGTTCAACATCATGACCCAGAGGTCGTGCCACTCCTGTATGCCATTCTTTGCCAGAACGACCGACTCGATAACGTCGTCCGGTGCCTCGATTGCAATGTTGCCGGCAACACTGGCTTGGGCAGCCTGTTTGAGTGTCTGCTCCACGCCGTCGGCCTTGACAATTTGCAGCCAGAAAGGCGCCAGACAGCCTTTTCGCCCTGGGAAAAAAAAAAAAAAAAAAAAGAAGCCGATTAGCTTCGTGGTCAAGTAAATGTGATGTTGGGAGAGACCTACTTGTTGCCTGTGTATCCTCGCCGGCAGCCTTTTCAGCCTTGCGTTTGCCAGACTTTGCCGAGGTTGCCGAGTTTGCCTGTGTCTTTTTGCTAGATGAATCTGGAGTATCGTCGTCAACCTCCGAAAGGTCTTCAGAGTCTTGATCGACATCCTGTGATTTGGACTGGCCAGATGTGTCAGATGTGCCAGGCAAGCCAGATACGCCAGGTAAGCCAGATTCTCCTTTTCTTGGTCTGCCCCTTGGCCGCTTCGGGGCGTTGGGGTCTGGCAATGCCCGGGTTCGTGGTCTCCCACGGCGAGTCTGCCCGTTGATGCTCGGGCGTGTGCCGTAGCGCCCATCCTCGAGACTGGTGGGTGCCGGCATGTTTGTGTGTGTGTGTGTGTGTGTGTATGTGTGTGTATGTGTGTGTATGTGTGTGTGTGTGTGTGTGTGTGTTTGTTTGTGTGCGCGCGTTGAGGTTGGTGTTGATGGTATTTGTTTTGGGGAGAGTTCATGGGAATTTTCTCCGCGAGGGCAAACGCACTGCAAGGTCACAGGCCTTTTAGGGTAGATCCATTGGCGTAATCATTGGAATAATCAACACCCACCACACTTTGAAACATCAAACGGAAAGTGCGAAGAGGGACCTAGGTCACATGGCCATGAAAATTCAGCTGGATGGTCGCAACCTGGACAAAGACGTTAAGGATGCCAACGTTAATGCCGGCTTTTAGATGGAATCTCACCTGGCGCACCTGGCCCTGGTTTGATGGATGGATTTTGGAACATAAAATTAACTCATTCTCCCCGTACTGCTCCGCGTACATTGGGCTTGCTACTGACTTTATCGTCTTGTGAAGCTTGACAGTTACGACAACACTGCGCTTGTAACTCCCTGAAGTCAGCACCACAAACGAATCGACGACCTACTCCTCCAACCCAAACGACACGAGACACAAGTGGCTCGTTGTCATGGGAATAAACAAGTCCAATTCCTTTGCATCCAAGCTTGATAGTTACGATAACATTGCACTTGAAACCTTTCCGAGGAGGCTTGGGCAATGAATTTCTCGAGTGATATGAGAACGCTGCGAGAACGGTGACTGATCACTTTGTCAGATGAGCGGGTCTTGGCTGTCAAGTATCCAGCATGGGCAATGGGGACGTGTCCAGACATATTCCTCCAATCGTTGATGCAAGCGCACATACCATCGGGCTCCTGACTTGGGTGATTATGCTGGCTTCAAGAATAGGAATCAAGATTAGAGCCAAAAAGTATGATCTGAACGTCACTTGTACCATGTTGGGCAAAGCAGTTGGATATGGCTGGCACTGGCTCAAGATGAACTGACTCGTCGAGGCTCAAACTAGATTACATGCCCCTTTCTGCCTGTTTGGCATGAATTTCGCGCAGTAAAAGCCGAGTCTCTCTCTGTTTCTCTCTAAACCGCTTCTGCTCCTCCTCTGGCATTTTCTCAATTTCCCCTTCTATCCACTTTGCCATCGCTTGGGTATCACCCTTGTATAATGGCTCTATCTTGAAGATCCAAATATGATATGGCCTGCCGAGATCGATGGGCGTGATAATGATGTCTTCCCATCTCTCACTGTCGGGTGATGGCACTTGTGCCCAGGACGTAGTTGTGCCCCGAACCCGCCCTGTCATGGATCGCTCGATGATTCGCAAAGACTTGTCTTCAAAGCTCATGAACACCCAGTACTCGTCAACGTCCCTATCACGGTAGACGCCAGAGCCACCTATCATGACAGAGCACTTTTTGTCTACAGCAGCCCACACTGCCTCGGGACTTGCCTGACTCCCAGCTTCCACCAATCGACCCAGGACTCGGGAGAGACGCGTATCAGGGCCTATCATCATGCCCACATTCACCACTGAGCGATCATAGGCTGGCCCCGAAATGTAAATGGCGAGCTGGCTCAATTGCAAAATGGCAAAGTCGTGCCAAAATGCCTCGCCGCTGAGCCTGTTTCGAAACTTTCGAACCAGGGTTGGGAGGAGGCGATGTACGCCACTCGCGTCTGCTGCCTCCTGCATGATATGAGTAGAAATGATGTGTAGGTAGTCAAAGGCTGTCACTGTCTCGGTAATGCTCCAATTGTTTTGATGCAATAACCGAAAGAGTAGGGCTGCTGTCTCTGCTAATGACCTGGCGATGAGGGCTTTGGGTTGCTCTGACACCCAGGGAGTCTTGACCCAGAAGGGCGGCTTCGATATGGCCGCAGAAATGATACAATCCCCCTCAAAGTACGTCTGCAAAAAGAATTGCCACACGCCTTCGGGGAGGTCGCCTATTGTTGACTCTAGCCATGATGCTGTCATTTCCAGGTACCGGCTGGCACTGCTTTGTAGCATGGCTACTTGCTGGCTCGTCGACACCCTGAGTTGCTTGTGTCTTTGGCGCTCCTCGTCCAGTTGTTGCTTTTTGTCGGCTAGCTCCCTTTTAAGCTCCAAGTTCGTTGCGGAGAGATTCGTGTTTTCCTGGCGCAGTCTTCGCGTCTCAGTATCCGAGCTGGCTCTTTGCTGTCGCATTTCTGTCTCCAGGGCCAGGATCCTGGCGCTCGCTGCCTCTAACTGTCCCTCCAAAGTCGTCTGTTTGTCGGCTTGGTCATGACGCTCCATTTTGAGTGTCGTTGTGGTGTTTCAAGCTGAATTGAAGTCAAATTAGGTGACCACTTTGGCTTGTTTTTTTGTATGTATTCTAAGTGGTTTGGTTGTCTCAAGCACGATGATCGAGTTGAACAGGAGCGCTCAGCGATCGTGTTAGTGCACGCTGGGGCCTAAACTATGTACCTAGGTAACGTAGGTGCCTACGCATAGCACCTACCTCTAGATACGGTATCCCATCCTGTTACCCGGACTAGTAGGCACCTGCGGCCAATGGATTTAGGAAGGCACAGGCTGAATGTTAATCAGGTGTCGAGTAATCAAGTGCTGTGATTTCCTCACATGCTTCGGTGAAGTCGGAGTTCTGGCCGAGTGGGATGGTCTTGGCCTACTGCTTCGATATTCGCAAGACTTTTTAAATAATTCTAAAGTATCAACATGGTGACGTCTGTAATAATTACACTTGCCGAGACCACATTCTGTCATCTGCCCAATGACAGCACGAAATGTGCAGGTGCCCGTGTTGATCAGGAGTCTATCATTTCAGTCCTTCGCATCGATTGTCATCTGTTATGAGAGTTTGGCCTCTTTGCAATCAAAAAACCATCTTCAGCTTTAGTTCTCGTCCAATTAGTTTCAAGAGTCCAAGGAGCTACTCGTGTCGGAAGTTTCAAACAATTGTGATAACTCCTGCAAGTATTGCTGACGTGTGTAAATGTCCCAATACCATTACCCCGAGTGACCACTAGGTACTTTGTGCTTACAAAACAGGGTGAGCCTGAGTTTCATGCCGGTGCACGTCGGAGCTTCTCCACCAAAGAGAGCTGGCATATGTCCCAGAATCTCTGGTGCATCGTGTAAAGATTCGAGACGCTATCAAAACGCGTGTTTATATCAAGAACAACTGGTGATGTTTGTCGTATTCATGCTTGTTACGAATATTGAAACAAAGTTGAACCTGCCCCCATCCACTTTGTGCCTTGTAACTATTGCTTTGAATGGAGGTCCTATAATAGACTAGACGGTCGGCTGATGACAAACGGGCCGCAATTGAAAAGTCATCCGCGTTCATTGGCTACTGCCACAAAAGAGGCTCTTGATAGTGGGCTTCGATTCTTCACTCCGCGAGATAGTTCCCAACACTCTAGCGTTCCTTTTCACTAAGAGGATCGGCTCCACATTGTGCGATATGTTCTGCAATTTGCGAAGCTGCCTCCTCGGAAGAGATGTCAGTGACATCAATGCTCAAGCCGACGCAGTCTTGAAATCGGTATATTGCAGTACTGGAACGAAAGGTCTGGAGTAGATGGCGATCGGTGAGCTTTGTAGTGTCGCTGTCGACCCTCTCCTTGCTGCATACTCGCTTGATGTTTTCTTGCTCGTCGCAAGTCATGTAGATTGGAAGAAATGGTCGCGCTGCTTCCAATGCCGCTTGTTGATACTCTTTTGCCACACTTTCACCTTGCTTGTTAGTAGTTTGGAAATCTATTGCAGCAAGTCAGCCCAGGGTGCCCACAGCATCAGGGATACCTGACGCCAATATGCTCGTACCAGTGAAAACAACTGTCTGGGAAAGCGAATCGGGTGAGGAAACGTGCTGTATAAAGGCCTCTTTTCGTCTAATCTGGCGTTGTCGTTGATACTCTGGGTGACTTCGAGAATATTCCGCCTCGACAGGGTCAATTAATTGATGGTTATCAATGAGAACAATCGACTTGTTCAATTTTTTGAGTGCCGTAGCGACGGTGAGTTTGCCAGTGCCCGGGTAGCCGTTGATCCAAATGAGTGGCGCGGCCATTGTGAAAACAATTGACTAGAAGAAAAGAAAATTGACTGAGCAGCGCGTATAATGTGATTTATATATCGTTGTGGGAGATCTGAATGCACGATGCTCCAAGTAAGACTCGAGCGTGACTCATAACACAGCATTGAGGCTGTGCCACCGCTTGCCCAAATCCCTGCAACTCTAATTAACGTGAGTATAAGTCAATCTATAATTCTTGGTGTCTAGTTCATATTCAACTGTTGTGTCCGGTAATGGCACCCCAGATGTACGAGGCCCAGCCTCCCAAGAGAAGAACCATCAACAAACAGAAGCACACTTTGGAGATCAAGGCGTTGCGAGTCGCCTTTTCACCAAGGAATCGTTCCTTGCGATTGGCCAGCATTACAGCTTGATCCATGCGCTGTTTCCTGGTCCATTGCAGATGACGGAGATCTGGCGAGCGCCATGCCAGGAATATTATGACACACGAGACCACGACAGACAAGGCGGCCATGGCGACATACAAGACGACAACACGATCGTACGAGTTGTTGTCCGCATCCTGGATGACACCAGCGACGATGCGAACCACGATATTGATGCTATTTATTACTTGTGAGCAAATGATTGGTCTAGACACGGCAGACTATACATACGAGTTGTTCATCATAATCTTCAAAGAGTATGCAGTACCAAAGGTGCTCTGCTGCCACAATGAAGCGCGCATTCCATCAATGAGCACAGTGGGGTTGTACGATGTCAGCACGGCATAGACGCCAAATGCCGCTGCTGTGCCGCTGACGGTTGGGGCCCAGTTTACCAACGCCATGGAGATGAAGATGCCCAGACTAGAGGCAACCACTGAACGAGGTTCGTTAGCTTGGAATGAAAGCATAAAAGGCAGGTTTGGACATACATAGACTGATCCTCTAACCGATAAAGTCAATGAGAATGCCGATAAATGGCACAATAAAGAAGCCAGCATAGCGAACCAGGGCAGTATACCATCCAGCAGTGACAGAGTCAATGTCGAACCTCTGCTCGGCAAGTTCGGTTGCATTTCCGCTAAAGACGACTGCAGTCGAAGTATAGCATAACGAGTAGAGCATCAAGACCCAAAAGACCCATGGTACCTCGAGGACCTTGTGAATATCCAATTTCTTGCCCTTTTTGATCAACTTTTCTCCGGTGACGGGATCAACACTGTGTCCGAATTTCTTGCTAGACTTTTTGTTGAACCAGAAAAAGACTGCTGAACAGATGTTGGTGAAAAAGTTGATAAAGACTGCTACCCAGAATACCCAGGCAAAGTCACCCGTGTTCTATCGAGTCATCAGTGCTGTTTCATACCAACCTATACACGATAGATGACTTACCACGGCAATGATGTTGGCGGTACTCGTTCCGGTAAAGGCCCCGAGCTTGGCAACCATGAGTTCTAGGCCCAAAGTGGAAGCAAAGCCGTTGTTGGGCGCAAACTATGCTGAAAACACTTGGTACTGGGCAATCTGCGTCGAAATGTCGCCAATGGCCAGAATAACTCGGCCTCCGATCATAAAGTTAAAGGACCGGATCTGCGCAGCTGCTGCCACGAGGATGGCGCCAATCGAGTAAATAATGTTGCCGTAAAGAGCGCACCGGCACCTCCGAGGCGGTCGGTCAAGAGGCCGCTGGCGAGGATCAAGACTGTAGTCATGAAATCCTCGCTCGCCTCGAGCAACGCATACTGGGTGTTGTTGATCTTGAGCTGCTTCTTGAGGGTCGTCTTCATGGCGCCCGTGATGCCGGAACTCCAGGACCCGCCGAACCGAACCAGAGTCACGAGAATGACTGCGACCAGCTTCCAGGTCCAGGGCGGCGGCGGCTTCTCATTCAGTGAGGCCGCCGAGGAAGCTGGCGAATTGAATTCGGCATCGTCAATGTCGTGTTGCGATTTCTCCGCGGCCGCTGCCATCTCTGCACTGTTATTGACCGGGGTCGCCATTTCGCCTCGACTGCTTTTGGATCCTGTCGCTCGACCAAATGCACGAAGCGCAGTCCATGATCATATACCAACGACTTTTATCTATTGCCCGCATCTTCGGCCGACTTGATCTTGCGAACCTCCATAATCGGCCTCGGCATCTCCAGTTCTTTTCCTTAGCACTTGCGAGCAGAGTTCAGGCCAAGAGCCTGGAGCTGAAAATGTTCTGGAAAATCGTCAGATCTGTAAGACGGATGCGATTGATTAGATAAAACCGTCCGATGAACCCACTTGGCGAGCCATGGCAAGATCCACTCTGGCTCGTTTAGCTGACAAAGATTTTTCTCAACGTCTTGGACAGCATCCCCTAATCTCCGAGCTCGATTGTCGGCCGAACATGGGAAACAGGATCTGATAAAATGCATACGTACAAAGTACCACGTACCCGTCGTTGTGGATTTCTTTGAATAAGGCCTGGATGCCAGAAGCGGCCCCAGTCTGAAAGTCGATCGGAAACTTGAGCAACTATCTCCAGTGCTGACCAAACCCTTTTCGGAAATTTAAGAGCTTAAACTGTATCCTTGAAGAGCCGGATGCACTAGACTGTTTTCGGAAATTTAAGAGCTTCTTACTCGCCTCAACCTGTCTGTGTTGGTAGTTTATGCTACTTTGTCGCACCTTTTCACATTTTTTTTTATTAGAAGCAAGAGTCACAAAAGGGTGCTTGCAAGCAGACTAGACTACACAGCCTCCTCATCTCATGGTGTTGGTGGCATTAAAGCATAAAACAGTGGTACTCTCAGATCACAATGGGGTTCTAAATGTGGACTTGTCTATTTTCTACCGGATATGCTAGGTTCAACAAGTCGAAGCCAATGTATGGGCTGGGGCAAACATGGGCATGGCATCTTCCCATAAACTATTGGTCAATGGCGTCTTGTTGCTGCCATCCGCGTCCATGACCATGATGATGGCGTACGGCTGCATGGAATCGTCATATAGCGGCGCCTCTTGTTGAAAACCAAACATGGCGGTGCTATAGGCAATGCGACCATCATGAGTCCAGACAGCGTGGGCATCGCTGGCCACTGAGTCCGTGACCTGGGTCAAGTCTGTGCCGTCTGGACTCATGGTGAAGATGTCGTAGTTGTCGCCAATGTTGGCCAAATTGGTGCGACGCGTAAACAAGATCTTGCTGCCGTCGGGAGAAAAAGCCGGCAGGTTGTCCCATTCCGTGGTGAGTTGCGTCACTTTCCGTGTGGCTACATCAACAATGGCTAGTCCTGTGGTGCCCACCGTGGTGCCATTGTCTGCAGTGCCGGGCCACGTACGAAAGACAACCTTGGAACCATCGTGGCTAAAGGATGGAAAACCATAGTTGCTAATATTGTTGCCCGCGAGAAGCGTCAAGTCTGATCCATCTGCGCCAATGCTGTAGATAAATCCGGGCAGGCTTTGGCGACCGACAAAATAAGCACCAAAGCCAAAGGTGATGTTTGTATCATTCGGTCCCCAGTTGCCCTGATAGGCACGCGCGTTGTATCCCGATGAGATAGCAGGATTAATGGTATCTTCAGTCGGCTCGTACAAGGTAACCTGGTCGTCACCATCCATGTTCAACCGAATCAAGTTATTAATCGCGGGCCCCTCCATTTGCTGCGACATGACCATCATGGGGCAGCCAGATCTTGCCCCCATGGGAAAGACGTCGGTGAACCGGTAATCCCAATCTTGGTCAAAACTGTACAGTTCCGCATGTTGCTCTTTCGAGGTCGAAGTGCTGCCTCCAGAAGGGCCTTGTTTCTCGTATATAATGTATTTGCCGTCTGGAGACCATGCTGGCGATCGGAGCGCAGGCGTCATTGTATTCATTGGGATGGTCTGGTACTGGGTATAGTTTGTGCCGGATATGGAAGCATAATAAATGCCGTTACTATCCGCCTCTTTCAAAACGTAGCCCATGACCTGGTAATATCATGTCAGTTTTGAACATCTTAGATTTACTTGGGACTCGACTCACATCGTCAGTCACATATGAAGGGCTGATCCTGACTCCAGTACCAGATGCGTGAACAATGCGATCTGTTCCGGTGGCAAAGTCAACCGAGACGATGCTAGAGTTCAGGACCGTGCCGTATAGCAACGAGGGTTGAAGGCGGGCGTCGTAGGTATCCTCGGTCAGAATCTCGTAAAACACTAGACGTTTGCCATCGGGAGAGAACCTGGGTGAGCCCTGGGTATAGTTTGCGCGCGACGAAACGAGACGGAAATCGGTTCCATTGGGACGAGCAACGTAAATGGAAAGTTCTTGCACATGTTCCCACCCAGCACCGTCGCTATGACCTCGCCAAGGGGTGTTGCGGTCCGATGTAAAGACGATCCATTCACCGTCGGGAGACCAGGCGGGCTTGAAATATCCGTTGGGCTGCGTGGGATTGGCAGCACCCGCGATTCCATCAATGAGGGTGAGGTTCTTGAGGTCGCCCGTCTCCATCACCATGAGCATGATTTGGCTGGTCTGGTTGAACCGACTCGTCGCGAATGCCAGCATCTTGCCATCGGGGGAAATCGCGGCAGAGTCGTCAACACCTTCCGATGCCACAAGCAGCTCTGGTGATGAAGCCGTGCTTGAGCCGTTTATACCTACACGGTAGACATCCGACTGGCCATCGCCCCTCCGCTCCGACGTGAACGTGACATGATTTCCGTCCGGAGACCAGTTGGCTCGAAAGTCAAAGACAGTGTTGGAGCCGAGCAGAAGCTTCTCATTGGCGCCGTTTGCATCTGCTATGTAGAGTTCAGAATAGTTGGGACTGATGCGGTTGTGTAGGAATGTCCCCAACGTTGCATTTGTGTTTGGTGCCCTGCCAGCATGGCCCAAGCAACTTGCTTGGCTTACACTGGCCACCCCTAGCCAGACTAGGTTCTTGAAAGCTTGCATACTGACTCTCAATAATAATGAGTGAATGTGACACACAAAGGCCAAGCCAGGAGATGAGAGACCGGCTAATAGCAAAAATGTTTGACGGTTATCCAAAGCAAAAGATTTTCTAGAGGCGGTAGATGTCCTTTTGTGGTTCGACTGATTGGCTGACTCACAAAAGGGCAAAGCCAACCTCCTACCTACTAGCTGGGTAGGTCGATAGCTTCTCCTTGTTGTCATGAAAAGCTCATTTCGAGATTGCCGGCCTAATTCTGGCATCTGTCGCATCATGCCTGAGATTGATTAAGCCGCGAATAGTCTAATTACGCATCCGAATATGTGGCGAGCTCGTATGTCCGAACGAGCTGCCTATATCACACGGACTCACAAGTCGCGGCGGTTGCTTGGTGCTCGGGTTCGGGTAGTCGGGGGCCCCGGTCCAGAATGGCACATGTTGTATATTCCCGTCGAATCTAGATCCTTGCCGCTGGCAAACCCATCAATCAAAAGCTTAAACCGGCCAAGCTTTCACCAATGTTGACTTGGCCAAGGATCGCTCGCCTTGGCCACTCCACAACGCTTGCGTTACTCTTTGCAGATCGATGCCGTCTTCCCCACAGCTAGAGGAACACGCACGGTATTTGTTTTTTTGGGGTAAGCATTACTATTCATTTCCTTATTGTGGAACAGGGTAATACCCAAACTAGCAAGTAGTACGGCAGCCAGTAACAGCGGAAACTATTTGACTGGACAATCAGTTGAGCAGCCGAGTATAAGTATACCACTTTGACGCATTATAGTTGATGGAAACCTTGACCAGACTTGCCGTCGAATTCACTCACTTGCTTCCGTTTCGTACCATTACTCTCGTTTCACGTCCAGCTCTTTAACAACAATGCACGGAAGACCTTCAATCCTCGCCACTGTGGCAGCGGCCGCACTGACATGTGCGACCGTAGTCAATGCAGACTGCGATCCGACTTCTCTCAACACGACAAGCTTCAATTATGTCAATGACATTGCCAATCAGACTGTCTATGAGATGGCTGTCAAGTTCAACCGTGGTGTCTGTGACATTGGCCGTGCCAACCTGAGTTCGTCTCCGTCCTTATTCCATAACATGTGCACAAGAATATCTAGCGGCTGACCTTGATGTAATCATAAAAGTGGTTGATGTGTCCGTAGTCCCTAATGTCGGTCAGACCATCATCATTCCGGGTGAGGTCTGCGACCCAGACTGGACCACGTGTGTCATTGACGGACCTGGCACCAATGACTGCCTGATCGGAGGCCCACGGCTGTACTACACCCTCAACGGCGACACCCTCTGGAAGATTGCCGGGCGCCTCAACATGACCCTTGACGCCGTCCAGTGCGGCGGCAACGGCTGCAACACCAACACCACTTGCACCAATGGCATCTGCCCCGGTGGTGGTGGCGCCCAGTACAGCGCCAACGAGACTATTCCCGCCGGCAAATTCATCAAGATTCCCATGTGCTACCCGAGCACCTGCGAGATTGAGCCCTACTCCTTTTCCTCTGGCGTGTACAAGGACCTTGCCGACGAGTATGGCTCTACCGTTGGGCAAATCCAGATGCTGAGCCCGACATACAACTACAGTTACATTGCCAATGAAGGTGGTACTGCGCCTCCAATTGGGCTGCCCAAGAACTGCCGTCTCTTGTCGTCCAACTATACCATTTTGGACTAAATCTGAGCTTGAAACAACAATGAATAGCAACTCTGGGTGTGTACATGATTGTGTATTGGAGCCAGTTTCAAACACATAGCATCTTGAAGTGTAATCAATTGTCATGTAAACTATCTGAGCTCTATCCATGTACATATCACATTGATATATAATATTATATATTTCGAATAGAGCGCTATTGTGTGGGTCGCGGAGCTGTTGCCGTACAGTCAGTCTCCAGAGCCCAAGTACCGCCTCGATTCTGCGCATAAGATTCTTCATAACGTGTATTTTTGTTGAAAAGATACTGTTTAGATCACACAAATTGCCGTCATGTAGCTTCCCCCTTCCACTATTTATTTATCCCAACTCTCTTCTTCCTTCTCTTTCTTCTTCTCATATTCTTCTAATGACAGTCCAAGATTTACAATCAATGTATCTCGCCTACTTCATCTATCGTCTCTACACGATTATTTCACCTTTAAAGAACCCTGGCCCGGCATCGCTTTATGTGAATAGCTTTCAGGGCTTTCTTTGTTTACTCATTTCCATTTCTAGCAAATGTTAGACTGTTGTTCAATGGCCAGACAGGGGCACTTCAAATATAAACAACACAGAGCACGCGGTCAAGTCTAAAGAAATTGCGTACTAAATATGGACCACAAAACCGTGGTTCAAAACCTTCTGTGTTGGGCAGAGGGTCTGGTCCCAGACGATTACACTCATGCTCCTGGCATTCTTCAAAGGCTGTTGACAATCAGCTGCGCAGAACATGTGATAACGGTGCCTCTTGGGGGTCAGTCTCTGAATAGATTCGAGTAATACGATAAAGACACGGGTCCAAAAAGCATTCTCGCCACAATTGTTTTCAATGTGATTGAGACACATTGGATCGATAAGAATTGTCCACGGGAAATCTCTTTTTTCATCCGGCTCCGGTGGTCAGATTTCTTTTATGCTTTTTTTTCGGTCCCGACAGTCAGCATCGTGCCGACGGCTTCTCAGCGTTGCGTTGCGTTGCATCTGGGTCACACGCTAATTACGGCTACATGACTTGTTACAATGCTTGATCAGCAACGCAGTGCTGAGCTGAACCTCTCCATGCTTACAGAGAGTGCTGCACTTCCCACGGCACAATTATACCCCGTCCCTGTCCATCAGCATGGCATCTCGCATTCGGCCGTCGTTCCATGCACGACTCACGTTCTTGGTTCCACGTGCGTGGTACCGACCAGAGCCTTGGAACCAGCACCGAATGCAGGAGACAAAATGTCAGCGCACTGCCACCGACACCTGTCCATTTTGGGCGTTCCACGACAGACTGAGTACTTGGAATGGAGAGCCCTACACCCATTTTGAGTAAGCCCACCACAAGTGGAAGAAAATGTAACCGTTATGGCGTCTATCGAGCCTCACAAAAGGCCAGAAAAATTGGGGCTATGTCGCGTACGTAAGCCATGGTTCACTCTGAACCGAGAAAAGGTATGGATATTTGGGGAATTGCATGCACGATTTATTTGAAATACGCGAGGGCCATTGCCAGTGATTGGCCTCTTGACGCGGCTGCGGCGTCTATGCAGGTTGCTGACAGCAGATTTCTTCAACCCACGCAACGAACTGTGCTCAGCCCCAACGGCGCCAAGGGGGGAACAGAAAAATTGAAACAGAAATATGCAACCACGAGTCATTGACGGCTGGTTCCTGATGAGGCTCTGCCCAAGTGAGCTACCGGCGTAGGAGCGGCCCATAGATGCGGCCTGTAGAGATGCTTCCACGTTCCCCACGTCTGCGATCCTTTGCGGATGGGCCCCGCAATGTCGTTATCAACGGATGGCGTGGCGACCAATAAGGTAGACACTCAACTGCACCGTCCTTTTCGACGCATAACCCCCCTGAAGACAGAGTGCGGGAACACCCAAAGGGCCCTGGTAAACACCCAGTGCTGGCCGGCATGCACTCTGACCCGTTCGTGCGGGTGTTCTGATGGGGCTGTGGCCCCCAAATAGCTCGTCGTCGCATTTGGCTGTACGTACCTACATATGACTGCATTCGAGAGAGCTCTTTCCCTTGTTTCATGGTAAGAAACTATTTTATACACACAAGACATGATTGCAAATGCAGCGACAGAGACAATGATAGCCTCACCGAAGCCCATGAGGGTGTTGAACCCCATGTTGCATGTGCTTCTGCACACGTTGGCTGCCGGCCGGGCACTTGCGTCCACTGCAATGTTCTCGAGTCGGGTAACACAAACCGAGACTATATATTTATTATAGAAGGCACCGTGCCTTGACTTGAGAGACTCTATCGACAGGACTCTTGCAAGCAAGCTCCCTTTACTCATTCAAACGTTTGTTCTCACAATCTTTTTATTTCTCTACGCTCTCAAACACTTTGAGTTGTATTCACCAACTCACTCATCCAACAAATCACCATGTCTTCCACCGACTCTCTATTCTCGGGGTAAGTAAAATCAACACCCAACGTATCGCAACAATTTCTTTGCGAATAATCGTCAATTAATTCCATTCTCCAGCCAATGCCCTTCCAAGCCAGCCCATGCCTATTCTAGCATGTCCAGTGGCAGTTCCTCCGACTTGTCGTCCGAGCGCGTGAATTCCTTCTATCACTCGTCGGCTACTACTGGCGCTATTGTGTCTTCCGGCACTTCAAGTACAACCTCTCCTCAACAGGCCGAGCAAAACATGACGGCGCACCTAGACGGCATCATGGACCGTCTGTTCAAGAAATAGCACGCAATGGCATACGACGCTGCTTTCTGGCCAAGCTGCCATGTTCTTGTTGAAAATTGGGCACGGAAGGATGCGATTTGTGGGGAGTTTGTGAAGCTGTAACATATTGTACGACCTAGTCACGTTCTTGTACGATACATTTGGGATGGATTTCTTAATTTCTTGGTTGTCTTATTTATTTATTCCATTCTAATGGAAGTATTATTATGTGATGGACTCAATCTGGTATCTCATTCTCGTATTCTAGTTTGCAAACGTGAAGCATTGCATGGCGAATTCGACCTCCCGCCTGGGTAATAATTGAAACGCACCTACTCTTTACTGCTGTCAATCGTCTCAAACCCTCAAAAGTCAAGGGGGTGGAAGAATTTGGTGCAAACTTGGCACGGTGACGTGAAAAGTAAAAATCATGCGACCGCAATCGTCACAAAGCAGAAGATCAGCATAACGCTTTCACGCAAGTTCCTCTTTTCGGACCATGCAAATGCTCTGTTTGCGACAAGCGTCATGTAACTACCCGGCGTCCCACGTCTCGAAAACCATGGCGAGTCCGCTTCTTTCTAAGCGAAGCGGACGGCCTGTGGGCTCCGGTCGACACGACGACTCTTCGGCTTCCCGCAGCGCAACAGTGTCCGCCCCGAAGAAGAGCGCTGGAAGCGCCCGAGTGCCTTTGCAACGGTAGCGTGCAGCGTCTTCGGCCGATTGCATAATCATGGCAGATTTATTTGGTTGGGACAGGGTTTTCATTGGTTCGTGGCATACCTGAGGTTGTGTTATATGCTGCGTCTTGCTGCTCCACGACCACAAGATACGCGATTAGAGTTTTTGAGAATCATTCGTGTATTGACGCCATTGGTCAATAAGATTCATGTGGATATTATTCGGGAACTTGCTGGTTCATTGTTACGCAAAGTTGCTTTGTAATGCCTGATTCAAGCTTGTTAGCATGCTTTTCAGCTTCTCCTCGCATACGATGATCTGCTACTGAGATGCTCACTCTTCGATAGACGTCATTCTCGAGGATTCTTTTGGTGAATGGATCCAGTGGAAAATCTGCCAAGTCTTTCATACCATCATGTACTCTGCCTGTGGGCTGGACATTGAACTTTCCCATGTCTCGTAGATCGTAGATATCCTATGAGCATCGTCATTTATTGATATCTGGTAATGTTATTCGAGATTACAAATGGATGGTTTGAGTCTTCAATTAATCGTGGTCTCCATGGCAAAGTTTCCACAAGAAGCTCTATCATTTTTCTACCACCCAAACGAACCTAATTTTACGCCTGCCAGAATTTCGGGAGAAAGAACAGCATTTCTGGAACGCCAGCTTTTTTTTTTTGTCAGATTAGCAAGTTCTTAATTACCCCTTCCATGATTTTCCTGCTTATTGGGGGTAGAACTGCCAAAAAGGGCCAATTACGGGCTTCAATGGCTGTACTCGGTAGAGTCGCAAACAGCTCGCACTGGGGCATCGAGATGGACATTTATGATGACAGACCAGGTCTCCAGGTGACTGTAGTATCCTCAATCTATCATATACGGGGCGAGGGCAAGTTTGACGCTAAGAAGGATGACTGGATCTGACGAAAGCTTGATGGGCAAACACAAGGTGCAGACTAAACAGATGCAGTCATTCTCCGTTCTGAGCCAACTTGAATGATGGAGTATTCCAAGGACGCACATGAAACAAACGAGAGTCAGAACAGCCGTCCACAAACCCAAGCACGATATGAGGCCAGAGTGGCACTCATTATTGACATGCTGAGGACTAATGTATAGATGATACATGTGACAATTGATGAGGTTGATTATACCGAGCATTACCTAATTTCATTGGCTTGCAAGTAAACTCCGAACGCTAGGTAATTAGAATTATGCCGAGCCAAGATGAGGTTCCTGGTGTTGGTCGGGCAGGACAAGTCCGGAAAGGACACGTGCTCACTATCTACACCCCTCTGCGGTTGCCCATAGCAGCTAACCTAGTGTCTATCCGCATCCAAGATGTAAGCTTAAAGTGACATATTCTCGGCGAACCACTTTACCTAATCTAGGTACAATAGAAGGCTCCCAATACATCGACGGGGCCCCGTTGATTTAATATCGACGGACCCGTCGATATTATATAAGCGTTATTTTATAGCGCTCTATAGCGCTCTACAGCGTTCTGTGTCAGGGCATACTGCTACCACTATACGATAATGGCTAAAAAGCATACTCGCAATCGTTGGGAAACGATCACAAACTGGGACCTATATACCCACGGGATTGGGACGGTGCCATATAGTATCTGCTATAACAATTTGCGTATTACGATTCTTTTCCTTTTCGCATTATAACCATTTTGTAACCATTATTTGTGGTTATTATTTATGGCCATTATCTATGGCCATTAAAAAGGAAACGCCAAAGCCTATGATTAAGGCACAAATTCCTATCGCTGCTATGCACAACGCTATAAAGCGCTGTAAAAAGTAGCAGAACGCTGTAGAGCGCTGTAGAGCGCTGTAGAGCGCTATAAAATAACGCTTACATAATATCGACGGGTCCATCGATATTAAATCAACGGGGCCCCGTCGATGTATTGGGAGCCACAATAGAACTGGTACCTACTCGGGTAACTTGTGCAAGGCGGTAGCATAGGCGGTTTCCCTCACTATGGTAGAATTACTCATCATGATCAGCGTCAATCATATTTTCTGTCATCATAAAGATATAGGCCATATATCGGTCTAAAGTTCCTTGTTGTCTGTAGCCCTAACTTGCAGGTTGCCATTAATTAATGTGCTATCATCCAATATCATCTATTGCCTATTGTGGTATCTTGTCGTGCGATAAAAGCTTTCGGATCCATACGGCCAACACGCTCGACTTCATCAGGGGCTTATTGCTGGTGGTTGGGTATGGGACTGCTTACAGGACTCCAAACATATTGCACGCTGTTCTGGTGCGTCTTTCTGCCGAGCAAAACCCTGGGTATCGGTGGGTCTTGGTGTTGGAAGACTTTAGGTGGGCGGGCTGCAGAGCGACGAAAAACATTCCCATGATTCGGAGATAGGTCGATAAAAACTGGTCATTCAACTGACTACACCCAAATGTCTTTCTCCTAACCTGGCTGGACTACAAAGTCAGGCTACCGCGCGGACGCAGTGTGCGGTCGTAGGGGTGTGACATGATGCATCGGCAGAGGGTGGCCGTGTGTCTTGTTCGGGCATGTGTCGCCAAGCTCCAGTCCATCGATTGGTCAATGGGCCGCTATACCGGCCAGGATTAGCGATTTCTTCCACGCTGCCTTGTCCCCTGTCCCCTTGCTTTTTGCTCAGCTTAGCTCAGGGCCCTCGGCCTTTGATGCGACCGGCGCTCTGTATAATGCTTCGGCGGCCCGAAGCAGAGCTGACCTGACCAACTGTGGGCTTGCATTACGCCTCTATTGGCGGAGCACCACGCCGCCTAACTTGCCAGGGTCCATGCAACAACATGTATGGAGCAAGCAGTATTATCTGTGTTTTCTTGTGCCAACAAGGCTAAGTAATCTCAACTCTCCAATATCGATTTCTCTCTCACTCTATCTCTTTTTGTAATGACTACCAAGGATACATTAAATATTTACTTTTACCAACCTTTTGGCTTCCGCATGTCCGGCATTCCATGTACCCTGAAGTAGCATGCACGAAATATGGTCGCCTTCCTTTTCCTTTTCCTCATCATCGATGAACTTAGCTGCCTTGCCACACGGGTTGCTGTTCCACGCAGGGTACAACAAACTTTTGAATATAAAGAGCATTACTCCCTCCCAATCGCCTTTTCTATCTTCTCTTTTGATTCTACTCATTCTTTCGTGCGCTTGTTGCAGGGTGTTGGACGTTTCTGGACGTCGAATTATTCCTGTAGCTTGCTCCTGCCTTTACGTTTTCTGTTCTCTCTTGTTGCCAGTCAAACCAACCTCAATGAATATGCCGTCCACTACTGCCACTACCGGGTATCGCTTGCTCTCCTATCGATCGTCTTGCTCAGAAAACACTAACAAAGGGAAGGAATCACACTGTTTGTCCAAATGCACAGCCATCAAAGATCAAGTCTGAAGCTGAAAAAGATCTTCTTCGCCAACAACGCCTGGATTCGTATCTCCAGGAACCGACTGCAGATGGAAATCGCTTGGTGTTAGTACAAGACCACCAGGGCTCTAGCAAAGAGCTCGTCGCCACAGCCAAGGCCAAGATGGCGACAAAGATAGAAAACATCATGCAGCCTTTTACAAAACACTAGCAGCAGTCGATGTCCACAGTGTTGGCCGTTATATAGCATTTTCAAAGTAAGACCTTTCGGGTCTCGAGTAGTGCCGCGATGATTCTCAACATTGCTTCACTACCAGCTTTCTTTCTCACTCATTCAGGTTTAATCATCTACACCTCGTGTGTCGTCTTTTCGTGTTTTTTTTTCTCGGTTGGGTCGGTGGTCTAAGGGCGATTTACATTCATTTGTACTTTCCTCTTATCACTGCGAACCAACTTTGTGGTCATTGACGAGATTCCCAGCAAAAGTATGATTATAATATTGCTCTTACTCAATGAAATTTCTTTTCATATAATCTAGCAGATACTAGCCCGGGCTTTCGTCTTGCTTTTGAAATCCATCTAAGCTCAAATATCATATATTTTTGCTGCCGCTTATATTCCGAATACATGTTATACCTGCGACGCTTGTGGATTTATTGTATCTAATCGGCTGTATATCTTGTCGTTTTGTGAGACATACTCTACTTGTAGAGCGAGTTGCCTTGTTGCTCTGGTGCTTATATTGCCTTGGAATGAACATATATAGATCGAGGCTTTTTCTTTCGCTCGATCTCTCCTAAATGCGGTGCACGATCATTTGCTTTGGAGACTGGATGTCGAAGATTACTCGTGTAAATAAGTCGCACTCCTCGACAGTCGTTCAATACCCTGACCAGCAATCTCTGCTCCAGTATCTCTGCTACCTGCATATGATTTGATGGATCC